AAGTGACTATAAATGAAACAAGATGGCTATGTGCAAAATATTTACTGAAGTTGGTCTATGGGTACATGAAGTTCATAATACAATTCTACTTTTATTTAGTTGAAATTTTCTACTACGAAGTTGAAAAAGGATTCTTCCTTCAGACTAATTCAGTAATATAATAGAATAAAAGTTTAATGAATTTGTATTTGATTTAATAAAGATGTCATCAGCACTGTAATTCATCATCTGTATTTGTATTTAACTATTAATCCAAGTAATGGGCAGAGATGCTGGCCAACTTCAACTAGAGACAGACTATAGAACAAGATTCTATAATACACGGTCTCTGGACAACTTTGAAAATAAAAACAAAAACATCACCTCCATAGCCTGAAGTACAGTAAGTATATAAACAAATGACTGCAGGATTATTTAGATTGTCCCAAAGGCATATGGTACCAAGATGACTAGTTCAGGATATTCATGTGCCAATTTGCCAACAATGCTCCAAATTATATTCAGGACCTGGTTTTTAAAGTTCAACAGTAAAGTTTTAATTATTCATTGGGAAGCCTATAATGTGGTTCTGAAATCCTAGGCACCAAATATGTTTCTGCTTTAGGTGGCCTTTAGAAATGCTTTTTATAAGAATATATATTTTTGTAGTAGACTGAGAAGAATAAAATACAAACTGTAAATCTGCTCTATAAGGACACAATACATTTCAAAAGCCAAATGTGGAAAACCTAAGGTTTAACTGCCATTCTGCAAATTGGGAAGCTCTAGAAATTGTCATATAAATTAAAAAAAAAAAAAATCAAGCCAGTAATTTGGGCTATGTTAAAAGCACTTACTAAAAATACCAAAGTAGCCCCAAACAAACCATTTCTGAAGAAGAGACTGGATGTGAAATATCTACAGACTTAACTTTTTCACATTTGAAATGTGGAAGCCACTGCTGGGTACTTTAACAAGCAACTCAACAAAATGAAGATCCTCTCTTCATTTGTTTAAAAGTAACACATTTCCCATGAACAATCATTAATTTTTAAAACTCAAACTTAGTTTTATGAAAATACATGTTTATTTAGCATTCTACTTTTGGGTGGATTTATTATTCATTCAACACAATGGAGGGATACTGTTCTAGATGCTAGGAATACAGCTCTGAAAAAAAACATCCCTTTATATGAAACTTACATTCTAGTGGCTGGCTGAGAAAATTTTGTGCGGGTTTGTTTACGTCTTATCACTTACTCTGCTTCTCCACACTTTCATGCCTCTTTTGCATATGTACTATCAAAGAGGCTGCAGCAGTTTTAAAGTTCAGGTTTGTATGTACCCGAGTAACTGATTTTAGACCAGGCCTTAAAAGAAAGAGCTAGAGAAGCAATAAAGAAGTTTTAATTAGTAAAAATTGCACTTCAGACAAAACCCAGAACTTATTCAGGCACCATAAAATCAACTCAGTCAGAATTTTTGACAACCAACACTGCCACCCAATCACTTCAAAAAGGCATATAGAATTTTATTTTATCCCTGTTCCTAAATATCTCTCAAGACCAGTTCTTCTTAAATTTTATTTCTGAGCAGTAGAATCTTTTTTTTTTTTTAACAGAATTTCATAGAAAATCCCTATATGTAAAATGTGTAAAACTCTAGTCCAAATAGGAAAGATTGGTCTATCCCCATGTCACTAGTATATGCAATGCCTCCAAGGACATCTCAAAAAACATCTGAAAGGCACTGCCCTATAAAATTGTGTTATCTAAAAAATTAACAACTAAAAATTTTTTAAAGTATTTCAGTTTAAATAACTCTGAGATTCCTGCATGGTATCATATATTGTGATTCTTTGATAAGAGATCTAACAAACAGGATTTCTCTGAGCCCTCATTTTTTCCCATCTAAAAAATAATGACCTTATGCTGGAAGACATGACAGCCCGTCAGTGCTAAAATTACACTATGATGAAGGCTGTAATAAAATTAGTAGTGGCCATTTCTGAATTTAGGACAGGCACACTTTGAGTATACATTTCCACCTCTGCAGACTTTAATTTCAAGCTTGTTACCATCTCTGCTTTAGATTTAACGTTTCCTATTAATTATCACTATCACATATCTTTTCCCCAGATTACTAGGAACTAGATGGAAACTTGTTTTTTTAAGCACCCCAACATATTTAGCCTTCCTCAGGGAAGATATGTGACAGAAATGATTGTGGGAGGAAAAAAATGACAACTCTGCTTAGGTTTTTTGTTTTGCTTAAATCTGTAAGGGGATGTTGTCTGTCTGCAAGGTGAATGGAACTGGGAAAAGCCAAGTATGCCAAAAGGAGAAAAGAGTAGGACTAAAACCAGAAAATATTCTTAGATGAATAGGAAAATATAAGCCTTTGAAATACAGTAACATTGAAATTATGTTAGACATGCTTCTTAATAAAAATCAAAATCCAAAAATATATATACAATTATTTTGATCCTGTTCTATATTTTACCTCCTCTAATTATTAGCTTAAGAATTGACTATATTAATTAGAGTACCAGACTAATGGAAGGTAAAATGTTACAGGGGCATTTTTATCAAACTGAATTCCAAAATTATGCCATACTAGTTGTCAGTTATGAGTATATTTTTAGAAATCACACTCTTCATCTCCAAATGCTTGATATAAAATTCAACTTCTTTATAATGAAAAAAAATCCAGTGAATACATTGTTGTGCCTTCTTCTAAATAATCTAGAATATTGGTGAGTCATGTTCTGCTGGAAGTGGCAGAGCTAAGGAACAGGGTCAGGGAAACTAAAGGGCAACCTTTAGTTAGGCACCAAAGGGAAAGAATTGTAAAATCAACAGAGTTCAGCTTTTTCATCCTTCACCTAACATGTTATTAAATCAACAAAAATTGGGCATCTTCTACATGAAGAGATGTGAACTGTTTATTAGACTGCCTACAGAGATTGGTTGCTAAAGAAGTCAGATATGTAATTACAAACCATTTATACATAGAATGAACTGCTATAAATAGCCCTTTTTCCTAATAAGGGTCATGAGAAAGTCTCACTATGGATGGTTTCAAATTCCCAAGGACACCATTCTATGACAACACAGGGTCTCCCAAAGTCATACAGCCAGTCCTTAAAACATGGCTTAAATCCTGAAAGAGACTCACAATTACTTAACACCATCCTTACATATGACGATCTCGTTCTTAGACTGACAAAAAGATTACTTTTGTCCAGAGGTTCCCTGGAAAGTGTCTTTAGATGGGCTTAAACTTAACTGGTTGTTGTGTACTCTAAGACAGTCACTTTTAAACCTCATCATGAAATCTGTATTACAAGAAAAATGTTACCATTAAGACAGAATTTTCTATTACCAATTTTAAGATGTATATTTCATAAATGTTATAATTTAAAAAATGTGCGTCTTATAAATCTACCAGCAAGAATTTTACAGGAATCAAAGTCCAAGATCTTTTTTATTTAATATGACAGATGACTAAGTATTCCCTACAGAGTTGAAAATACGTTAGACTATAGCCCAGAAAATTTGGGTTCAGTCCTGGTTTTGCTTTAAGTTAATAGAACTGAGTGATTTTGAATAAGCCACTTACTATCAGTAAGGTTTACTGTGGATCATGTAACTCAGAGAATGGTTTTAAGAAATAAATGAGTGTAACTGCATTATGTATATTGTAAAAGGTAAACCACAACTATGATGTCAGATTTTTATTATTAATGCCATACCTGAAGAACATATGTCGAAGTCTTTAAATGGCCAGTTTTGAAGTACTAAAAAATATACTAAATTCTGCCACTTTATTAATCTTTCTCTCAAATTTTAATGGAAGTGATAATTTAGCCACTAAATTACTTTAACTGCTAAGTTTAATAGTAAATGTATACAGTGAAAGTATACTAAGATACTATGAGGATTAAATATCTGTCACAGTCCTAATTTAAGGGCTCAGAAAATGATTTGTCTGGTGGTAGTACACTTTTTTAAGTATTAGGTAGTATACATATTTTTACGTGTAGGCTCTTTTTTTCCTTTTAACATAATATAGTTTCAATAGTTTTTCCTACTGGAAAGAGAGGTGTTTCCTACTGCATATGCCTTGATACCTACCTGTTTGGAGTATTTAACTCCTATCAAGACAAAACCACTCACTGAGACATCTACAAGGGAACTCTTAGCTCTGAAAATGGAAGCTGAAATCTTTCCTTAGTTTCAGTCATTTCTGGCAAATGAGAAATAGTCACCTAAATGTTTAGCCCTACTAGCCTTCCTCTGCCATCAGATGCAGCCTGTGGAGACTCTTGCAGTGAGAAATAATTTCAACCAAAGCCAAAAGCCTAGGAATCAAATGCTTTGATCTATTTAAGCATAAGTTCATCCTCATGTGATTTATATTTCAAATTATGATGATGATTCTCTAAGATCAACCACCATTACAAGACAGAGAATCTAAATTAAGTGAGTTTTACATTACTAGGAGTTCAGTAATATAAACTTCTAAGTGGTAACACTCCTTGCAAATCAAGCTGTGTGAATTTAACTATTTACTAAATATTTTCCCCACTATGATTTCCACAATATAAATGTGCAAGAATCTTAACAAAAATGCATGCTGTTGTGGATAAAAGTCTACTCTGCTCAACAGTAAACTATTTTTTAAATCCCACATATTATTTTATTCCTTAACTAAAAATGCTATTGCTATATAATAAAATAATTGCCTCTATGTTCCAAATAACTGCTTTTTAAAAAATTTCTCTGAAGACTGGAAAAATCTATAAGTAAAACACAGAAATTACCTTTGTGAGGAATCTCATTACTGCAGATTTGTATCATCAACATGAGTAAATATTTGTGCCTAGCCTACAAATCTTCCCCTAACAACAGCATTTTAAAAAGTCATTGTGTAACAAAAATTAAATAATTAAGACTTTTTCAAGCAGTTCATTTTTGTAATATACCAATAATCAAACAATAAATTTGATAAATACATACAGTTCCAGAGAGGACATCATGGGGGCAACAGTTCAGAAGGTGACTCTTGCATACTCTGTCATCACTGAATTTGATTCGTTGACGAGTAGTATCTCCTGTAATATAGGAAAGTTAATAACATTCAAGGTTAGAAAACTGGAAAATATTTTCTGAGAGCCCTACTATCACTAGCTTTTTATGTGTGGCTACACACACACACACGCTTATAAACCAGCTAAAGGGGGATTAGTTTTTTATATAATATCCTACAGAAAAACTATTTTAGACAACATGCAGTTGCAGTTCGTGTACTGCTAATGTAATTCAAAATAGTCAAAGGGGAAAGCAATGAGTTGTTAAATAGAGTACTTCAGAAAAGCATAGGATTTAGAGCAGGAATGGACCTTAAAGATAATGGAGTCCAACTCCTTCATACTGCAGATGAAGAAACTAAGGCCCCAAGAGGTTAAGAGGCTTACAGCAAACCCACTAGGAGTTTCTACTGGTATACAATGTTCCCTACTTGACACTAAGCACTGAGTTATTTTGTGATTATTTACATTAATTGAACATAAAAGTAATCTTGCAAACATTGCATACACACTGCGAATCCCCACTGAACCCCAGACGCCATTTCTTCCACTATTTTGTTCCAGCTGAAGTGTCTCCCTTTTGCTGCTGGGAGGAGTTAGAGAGGGTAGAATAACGGGTTTAAGAATGTACAAACCTGGAAGAAGGACTTACACACCAAACAAAGGCATACTGCCTAAACAAAATGTTAACTTTAATGCCTCCAGAGGTTCCATACCTCCAAGTTTTATGTAGTCTGTGCTGTATATGGCCAAACTGGGTACATTTAAATTCATCCTGTTTTCATGTAACACAATACACCTCCCTAAGCAACAGAAGCATCCAACCTGCTAATCCAACCTACTTACTCAAAACTTTAAAGAATCTAAAAAAAAGAAAGGTGACTAGCCTATCAACAAAATAAAGATGTTAGTTACGATTTTTTTTGCTTAGAATTTCTTTGGGAATAAAAAGAAAAAAAACTCCTAAGAATGTTTCCTCTATGTTGAATGATAAACCCTAAGAAATGTAGGTGTTTTATTTTACCTTAAATTGATATCATCATTGATGAATGAAAACCTACTGGTGAATTACTGAAGCAAGATCTATTGGTACCAAATTAGACTGTAAATACTTCTATACTTCACATGGTGCCTGGAGTGCTCCAAAAACTTTCATCTAAGAAGTGATCCAACTATTTAATTTGTTTTTCACATGTGAATAACAAAAAAGGTTAAAACTTTACCAATTTCACATGGTCTTATTCTAAAGAGGTTAATATGCAAGTCAACTACAGTCATTTTTAGGTGGGGTAAGATTTTGTTCAAATTGTTTTAAGGTGGTTAAAAAGACTTACAGGACATTCCAATTCACAACCAGGTATATAAAATTTTAAGAACCAAAATTTATACCTAAAATGATGGCTTCAGAACAGTTCAACAAGAGGTTTTCTAGAAGCTAGCTCGTTTCTAGTTAGAGTAGGTTATTTTTGACACCACAATTTGGAATAATTCATTTAGAGTTCACGCCTGCTACTGTAATAGTAAGTTATTTTGATGGTCCTTTTTTCCTTTTAAACACAACTGTTTTTGTTCCACATTCATTAACACATCTGAAAAGTTAGTGATAACTCACGGCTCGGCGAATGCGGGGCCTTTCTGACACTCCCTTGCAGACTGAAGTAGGCAGGCATAGATACATTGAACCTTTACAAATAAAACAAGGGGCCAGATTGTTCAGTTTGTATAGAATAGACTCTGCCAGCAATTTCAATACAGCATCTAGAAGTACATGTTGACTGTAAAGATTCTTGTATAGGAAAACAAAAGTGAACAAAATCAGGATGTTTTATTTTTTTTTAATATTTACTTAACAAGTGTAACCCTAGAGAAGAGTATGACTAACAGATATAAGTCCAAAGCTAGAGCTCTGGAAAGTGGTCCTTGGGCCAATTGGGGGTTTTTAAAACTGGTTTGTTTGTTTTTTAAGTATATTTCATCAGGAATTTGGTGAGGGCCTTAAGCTTTTGTTAGACTGGTAATATGATAAACTCACACCAGAATGGCAATGCTATATTAGAACCTTTTAAATCTGTACCCAAATTATGCTAAGAAACTTAAAGATGATATAAAATTTTTAAGTAGAAAAGACAAAAGCCCTTATATTTATGTATGAGTCTCCTGCTACAAGTATCTAAGCTCTTGGTATGCAACAGCAGTATTGTTTCAAAACGTGCTTTGTCAAACTAATAGTTCAAGCATATTATAAGACAAGCCTTAGAATAAAATCGAGGTTCAGTTTTATTAATCAGACATTTCACCAAGTAAGGTGACTGCTTTGCTACAGAAATCATCAACATTAAATCTAATATTAAGTATTGTGCCCTGAAGACACAGCTATCTGATAAGATATGAACAATACAAATTTAGCAATTATCTTCAGTGAGCTTTCTAAAAAAATCCACTTCTATAAATGCCAAAAAGCATTTTTAAATAACTCCTCACTGCATATGAATGGTTGCTCTATAAACTGCATCTGATAACTGCAGCAAACAAAAAATACAGCTACCAAGTATCAGGCTGTACTTTATAGAAACCTTTAAAACAATAACATATTAAAATCCCTAATAATTTAATATTACAGAAATTTAATAGATACAGAAATACACAAGAGGGGCTAACTGTAAACTGTTACCCTAAGAGAGACTAACAACTGAGTATCTGTTTATTGATATTTTTAAAGTCTTACTTAAGAAACTTAAAGAGATTAACATTTTAAAATAACTTGGCTACATTACCATATAGTACTTAATAAACTTATTTGGGCTCATGTCGTAAAAAAATATAACTTAGCTAAACCAACAAAGAATTTTAAAATAAAAATACTTATAGTTTTAGTTTCTGTCAAGATATCTGGCCCAAACCATATTTACCAAAGGAAACTAGGTAAAAACAGCACCAATTTGAAAAAAAAAAGGTGGGGCAGGGGGGGCAAAGGGCAAGGGGACTACAATTAATAGGCAACAAATAAAAACCCAATCTCCTTATAATACAAAAGAATTGTTTTATGAGTTCAATGTATTTCATCTCTGGGTTTTCTGGGCACATATTCACATAAAAATAACCCAAGTTAAAAAAAAAAAGTTACTGTTACACTAACGCTGGATCCAAATCACAGAATCAAACCTATTAGTGAACATATCCTTTATAGTAGGCATATAAGACAAGCTCTCTACCCTCAAGGAACCCATGATTTTTCTAGAGAAATAGGATATTTAAATGAAATAACAAGAAATACAAGGCAGCATGATCCAAGTGCCACATGGATGTTTCAATAGTAGTATAGTAGTACTTTAGGATTCTAAGACTGGAATGACTACCAAGGACTGGAGAGATTAGAAAAGGCTTCATAGAGTTAAGTAGAAGCCAAAATTTGAAGGAAAGATGGAACTTACTTAGACCAAAGGAAAGGAGAAAGATCATTCCAAACTGGAGCAGTATTTTTGACACAGCTTACAGAGTAGAGGCAGGTAGTTTTGGGAAACAGGTTTTCATTTGGCTTTGGCAAATAGCTTCATGTTAAGAGAATAGCAAAGTTGGGGCCAGAATAATATATTTTTTGGGTAAAACATGATTTCTTAAGACTTTTTTTTTTTCATTTTTCCTCCAATCCAGATTTTTAGTGTATGAACCAAATTTTTTTTAATGTTTTAAAATAATGGGGCAGAGATTAGACCAAGTTATGCAACAACAAAACTTCATATCCATAAAAACATGTAGGTCTCTCTGTCCTTTATAACCTCTACGTTAATTAATTAGGCTTTGTATATAACTACAATGTCAAATTTTTAGAATTAGAAACTTGACTTAGAACTTTGGCAGGAAGCCTCAAAACTTCTATTAATATTCCCTAACAAGCAACTAACTTGAGAGTAACAAATCTCTTGACCTCTCTCTCTTGTTCAATCCCTTCATGAGCTTCATGAATTACTACCTGTATTTGAGAACACCCGAATTCACAGGTGTACAAAAAAATTGAAATGCATATATATTAGTCCTCTAGAGGTCTTTCAGCGATGTAACAGGGCCTAAGATGATAGAGGCAGTTTCACTCAGGGAATATGGTCAGGCTGCTCTAAAATGAAGGTTCCTGTCCAAACTGTGTTCAAATGCTATTCTCAAAATTCCCTCATCTGCTGGGGAGGAAAAATGAGCCCACTGTAAATCCCAACACTGCCATTTATGCTCCTGCCTTTTCTGAAACTTAAGACTCAAATTGTAGCAGTATCTGAAATCATATTACATGGTGCATGCTGTTTTCCCCAATATCCACACCCCCTCCCCTCCAGTGCCACCCACCATCTCCCTCCCACACAAACAATAAATCAAATCAACTTTCATAGATTTAGGTGCTATTTTAAAAACATCAAAATTTTACTTTACCCATTCTCTCCGATGCTCCCTGTATTTTTTTAAGCTGTGAGTGGATGACCATGCTATGTGATCAACAACTGTGAAGGCTAAGCAAAAGTGAACTGAGTTTAGTATTATCATTTCAAAAGAACCTTAAAGTTTGTAATATTTGACATATATAATGGTATGCAGAATCCTTATTTTACTGCATATTATCAGGCATTAATGGCAAGCAACTTATGAAAACAACTAATTAGTATTTCTTTTGTACAGAATTAGCTTAGAGCTTAGCTTAGGGAAAACAGAGAAGAGAAAACTCAACAGCACACAAAGCAAATGGAAGCATCTCCTAGTATATAAATGGGGCCAAGAGATGGGGAAACCCTCCCACTTTCTCCAATATGACAGCCAAAGCCCTCCCCACAGGTATACTTTTTAGGGGCCACATGTCAGAGTTGGTCTGGGAACAAAGTAGGTACATTCCTACTGAAATAAAATCCATACCCCTTCAGTGAAAGGAAAGCCAGAGTAAGAACTGGAGGTGTGTATAACCAAAAGCGTGAGGCTTCTCATTTCCGTGCCCTTGAATCCCCGAATGCAGAGAAATGTTCCACCTTCTTACTATCATTTCTTACAATATAAGCTACTGAGTCCACACAGTAAGAAGGGAACTTTATAAAGACCCATGGCTAATTTCTAGACTAGTACAGGGCAGGAACAGAGCTGCTGTGTAACTAGTAAACTCAGGTCTTCCATGTGGAACCAAGGGTAAAAGCTGAACAGTGTCTACTATACCAAAGAACCAATCTGATCACTTTGACACCCTCCTCAAAGTTTCTCACCAACTCTACTAACTTCTCCCACCTACCTGTGTTGTTCCTTTAGAATTCAGCCTAACTCACCTATAAGAACCATTTTGTAATTAACCTTTAAAAAAACACTTATTACTCCATATGCTCTTGTTAATACACAGTTTAATTCACTATATATTTATACAATTCAAACTACAGGATTCATTTTATAAAAGGACTCACTACCATGTCTTGACATAATGATTACAGATGCTTTTAAAACACTTAATATGACATGATATATATCAAACTTTTCAGGAATATATTTATTATATACAAAATATAATAAACAAGTAGTCAGCCAAAGACGGCAGTGGGAAAAATCAAGTATGGCATTCTCCCTTCCAAATTTAACACCAAGTCACTTCTTTCTAACACAACTTATAAAATCATACTGACTAGGGTAGCCCCCAGAAAATGCAAAAATAAGAGTACTATATATAGCTTAGAAAGGCTATCTCTCTTAATCCTGTCATATAGTCCTAGGGTTTAATTACTAGTAGGTGCAAATAGCACTCCCATTATAATCCCCATGACAAGCCCAACATTTTAAAAATGCAATGCCCACTGTAGAAATTTCATTGTTGCTGAATATGATCAAAGATTAATAATGCTAAAATAATTTTTTAAATCTACCAGCCTACTTATCTATGAAAATCCATTTAACAAAATTATAAAAAATGAGACAGGGCAACAGTAGCAGAAAAAGCTTACTGGGGTCTTTAAGAACTAAAAGAATGACAATGGATATGAGAACAAAAATACTAAAGTAGCTACATTCCAAGGATTCTATTCCCTTTGCTAAAACTCTATCTTCTCTACACAAGCATAGAGTCTTGGACACTGGCGGGGGTCAATGTCATCACATTTTTGGGGGGGAATACATGCTTTGGGAAATCTGTAGAATATCTCTCCTCTGCAATTTAAAAAATACATTAGAAGAGTTGGTCACCTAAAAAATCAGATTCTGAAAGTAGATTATATAGAATTTAAGTTTTTTATATAATATCCTACAGAAAAACTATTTTAGACAACATGCAGTTGCAGTTCGTGTACTGCTAATGTAATTCAAAATAGTCAAAGGGGAAAGCAATGAGTTGTTAAATAGAGTACTTCAGAAAAGCATAGGATTTAGAGCAGGAATGGACCTTAAAGATAATGGAGTCCAACTCCTTCATACTGCAGATGAAGAAACTAAGGCCCCAAGAGGTTAAGAGGCTTACAGCAAACCCACTAGGAGTTTCTACTGGTATACAATGTTCCCTACTTGACACTAAGCACTGAGTTATTTTGTGATTATTTACATTAATTGAACATAAAAGTAATCTTGCAAACATTGCATACACACTGCGAATCCCCACTGAACCCCAGACGCCATTTCTTCCACTATTTTGTTCCAGCTGAAGTGTCTCCCTTTTGCTGCTGGGAGGAGTTAGAGAGGGTAGAATAACGGGTTTAAGAATGTACAAACCTGGAAGAAGGACTTACACACCAAACAAAGGCATACTGCCTAAACAAAATGTTAACTTTAATGCCTCCAGAGGTTCCATACCTCCAAGTTTTATGTAGTCTGTGCTGTATATGGCCAAACTGGGTACATTTAAATTCATCCTGTTTTCATGTAACACAATACACCTCCCTAAGCAACAGAAGCATCCAACCTGCTAATCCAACCTACTTACTCAAAACTTTAAAGAATCTAAAAAAAAGAAAGGTGACTAGCCTATCAACAAAATAAAGATGTTAGTTACGATTTTTTTTGCTTAGAATTTCTTTGGGAATAAAAAGAAAAAAAACTCCTAAGAATGTTTCCTCTATGTTGAATGATAAACCCTAAGAAATGTAGGTGTTTTATTTTACCTTAAATTGATATCATCATTGATGAATGAAAACCTACTGGTGAATTACTGAAGCAAGATCTATTGGTACCAAATTAGACTGTAAATACTTCTATACTTCACATGGTGCCTGGAGTGCTCCAAAAACTTTCATCTAAGAAGTGATCCAACTATTTAATTTGTTTTTCACATGTGAATAACAAAAAAGGTTAAAACTTTACCAATTTCACATGGTCTTATTCTAAAGAGGTTAATATGCAAGTCAACTACAGTCATTTTTAGGTGGGGTAAGATTTTGTTCAAATTGTTTTAAGGTGGTTAAAAAGACTTACAGGACATTCCAATTCACAACCAGGTATATAAAATTTTAAGAACCAAAATTTATACCTAAAATGATGGCTTCAGAACAGTTCAACAAGAGGTTTTCTAGAAGCTAGCTCGTTTCTAGTTAGAGTAGGTTATTTTTGACACCACAATTTGGAATAATTCATTTAGAGTTCACGCCTGCTACTGTAATAGTAAGTTATTTTGATGGTCCTTTTTTCCTTTTAAACACAACTGTTTTTGTTCCACATTCATTAACACATCTGAAAAGTTAGTGATAACTCACGGCTCGGCGAATGCGGGGCCTTTCTGACACTCCCTTGCAGACTGAAGTAGGCAGGCATAGATACATTGAACCTTTACAAATAAAACAAGGGGCCAGATTGTTCAGTTTGTATAGAATAGACTCTGCCAGCAATTTCAATACAGCATCTAGAAGTACATGTTGACTGTAAAGATTCTTGTATAGGAAAACAAAAGTGAACAAAATCAGGATGTTTTATTTTTTTTTAATATTTACTTAACAAGTGTAACCCTAGAGAAGAGTATGACTAACAGATATAAGTCCAAAGCTAGAGCTCTGGAAAGTGGTCCTTGGGCCAATTGGGGGTTTTTAAAACTGGTTTGTTTGTTTTTTAAGTATATTTCATCAGGAATTTGGTGAGGGCCTTAAGCTTTTGTTAGACTGGTAATATGATAAACTCACACCAGAATGGCAATGCTATATTAGAACCTTTTAAATCTGTACCCAAATTATGCTAAGAAACTTAAAGATGATATAAAATTTTTAAGTAGAAAAGACAAAAGCCCTTATATTTATGTATGAGTCTCCTGCTACAAGTATCTAAGCTCTTGGTATGCAACAGCAGTATTGTTTCAAAACGTGCTTTGTCAAACTAATAGTTCAAGCATATTATAAGACAAGCCTTAGAATAAAATCGAGGTTCAGTTTTATTAATCAGACATTTCACCAAGTAAGGTGACTGCTTTGCTACAGAAATCATCAACATTAAATCTAATATTAAGTATTGTGCCCTGAAGACACAGCTATCTGATAAGATATGAACAATACAAATTTAGCAATTATCTTCAGTGAGCTTTCTAAAAAAATCCACTTCTATAAATGCCAAAAAGCATTTTTAAATAACTCCTCACTGCATATGAATGGTTGCTCTATAAACTGCATCTGATAACTGCAGCAAACAAAAAATACAGCTACCAAGTATCAGGCTGTACTTTATAGAAACCTTTAAAACAATAACATATTAAAATCCCTAATAATTTAATATTACAGAAATTTAATAGATACAGAAATACACAAGAGGGGCTAACTGTAAACTGTTACCCTAAGAGAGACTAACAACTGAGTATCTGTTTATTGATATTTTTAAAGTCTTACTTAAGAAACTTAAAGAGATTAACATTTTAAAATAACTTGGCTACATTACCATATAGTACTTAATAAACTTATTTGGGCTCATGTCGTAAAAAAATATAACTTAGCTAAACCAACAAAGAATTTTAAAATAAAAATACTTATAGTTTTAGTTTCTGTCAAGATATCTGGCCCAAACCATATTTACCAAAGGAAACTAGGTAAAAACAGCACCAATTTGAAAAAAAAAAGGTGGGGCAGGGGGGGCAAAGGGCAAGGGGACTACAATTAATAGGCAACAAATAAAAACCCAATCTCCTTATAATACAAAAGAATTGTTTTATGAGTTCAATGTATTTCATCTCTGGGTTTTCTGGGCACATATTCACATAAAAATAACCCAAGTTAAAAAAAAAAAGTTACTGTTACACTAACGCTGGATCCAAATCACAGAATCAAACCTATTAGTGAACATATCCTTTATAGTAGGCATATAAGACAAGCTCTCTACCCTCAAGGAACCCATGATTTTTCTAGAGAAATAGGATATTTAAATGAAATAACAAGAAATACAAGGCAGCATGATCCAAGTGCCACATGGATGTTTCAATAGTAGTATAGTAGTACTTTAGGATTCTAAGACTGGAATGACTACCAAGGACTGGAGAGATTAGAAAAGGCTTCATAGAGTTAAGTAGAAGCCAAAATTTGAAGGAAAGATGGAACTTACTTAGACCAAAGGAAAGGAGAAAGATCATTCCAAACTGGAGCAGTATTTTTGACACAGCTTACAGAGTAGAGGCAGGTAGTTTTGGGAAACAGGTTTTCATTTGGCTTTGGCAAATAGCTTCATGTTAAGAGAATAGCAAAGTTGGGGCCAGAATAATATATTTTTTGGGTAAAACATGATTTCTTAAGACTTTTTTTTTTTCATTTTTCCTCCAATCCAGATTTTTAGTGTATGAACCAAATTTTTTTTAATGTTTTAAAATAATGGGGCAGAGATTAGACCAAGTTATGCAACAACAAAACTTCATATCCATAAAAACATGTAGGTCTCTCTGTCCTTTATAACCTCTACGTTAATTAATTAGGCTTTGTATATAACTACAATGTCAAATTTTTAGAATTAGAAACTTGACTTAGAACTTTGGCAGGAAGCCTCAAAACTTCTATTAATATTCCCTAACAAGCAACTAACTTGAGAGTAACAAATCTCTTGACCTCTCTCTCTTGTTCAATCCCTTCATGAGCTTCATGAATTACTACCTGTATTTGAGAACACCCGAATTCACAGGTGTACAAAAAAATTGAAATGCATATATATTAGTCCTCTAGAGGTCTTTCAGCGATGTAACAGGGCCTAAGATGATAGAGGCAGTTTCACTCAGGGAATATGGTCAGGCTGCTCTAAAATGAAGGTTCCTGTCCAAACTGTGTTCAAATGCTATTCTCAAAATTCCCTCATCTGCTGGGGAGGAAAAATGAGCCCACTGTAAATCCCAACACTGCCATTTATGCTCCTGCCTTTTCTGAAACTTAAGACTCAAATTGTAGCAGTATCTGAAATCATATTACATGGTGCATGCTGTTTTCCCCAATATCCACACCCCCTCCCCTCCAGTGCCACCCACCATCTCCCTCCCACACAAACAATAAATCAAATCAACTTTCATAGATTTAGGTGCTATTTTAAAAACATCAAAATTTTACTTTACCCATTCTCTCCGATGCTCCCTGTATTTTTTTAAGCTGTGAGTGGATGACCATGCTATGTGATCAACAACTGTGAAGGCTAAGCAAAAGTGAACTGAGTTTAGTATTATCATTTCAAAAGAACCTTAAAGTTTGTAATATTTGACATATATAATGGTATGCAGAATCCTTATTTTACTGCATATTATCAGGCATTAATGGCAAGCAACTTATGAAAACAACTAATTAGTATTTCTTTTGTACAGAATTAGCTTAGAGCTTAGCTTAGGGAAAACAGAGAAGAGAAAACTCAACAGCACACAAAGCAAATGGAAGCATCTCCTAGTATATAAATGGGGCCAAGAGATGGGGAAACCCTCCCACTTTCTCCAATATGACAGCCAAAGCCCTCCCCACAGGTATACTTTTTAGGGGCCACATGTCAGAGTTGGTCTGGGAACAAAGTAGGTACATTCCTACTGAAATAAAATCCATACCCCTTCAGTGAAAGGAAAGCCAGAGTAAGAACTGGAGGTGTGTATAACCAAAAGCGTGAGGCTTCTCATTTCCGTGCCCTTGAATCCCCGAATGCAGAGAAATGTTCCACCTTCTTACTATCATTTCTTACAATATAAGCTACTGAGTCCACACAGTAAGAAGGGAACTTTATAAAGACCCATGGCTAATTTCTAGACTAGTACAGGGCAGGAACAGAGCTGCTGTGTAACTAGTAAACTCAGGTCTTCCATGTGGAACCAAGGGTAAAAGCTGAACAGTGTCTACTATACCAAAGAACCAATCTGATCACTTTGACACCCTCCTCAAAGTTTCTCACCAACTCTACTAACTTCTCCCACCTACCTGTGTTGTTCCTTTAGAATTCAGCCTAACTCACCTATAAGAACCATTTTGTAATTAACCTTTAAAAAAACACTTATTACTCCATATGCTCTTGTTAATACACAGTTTAATTCACTATATATTTATACAATTCAAACTACAGGATTCATTTTATAAAAGGACTCACTACCATGTCTTGACATAATGATTACAGATGCTTTTAAAACACTTAATATGACATGATATATATCAAACTTTTCAGGAATATATTTATTATATACAAAATATAATAAACAAGTAGTCAGCCAAAGACGGCAGTGGGAAAAATCAAGTATGGCATTCTCCCTTCCAAATTTAACACCAAGTCACTTCTTTCTAACACAACTTATAAAATCATACTGACTAGGGTAGCCCCCAGAAAATGCAAAAATAAGAGTACTATATATAGCTTAGAAAGGCTATCTCTCTTAATCCTGTCATATAGTCCTAGGGTTTAATTACTAGTAGGTGCAAATAGCACTCCCATTATAATCCCCATGACAAGCCCAACATTTTAAAAATGCAATGCCCACTGTAGAAATTTCATTGTTGCTGAATATGATCAAAGATTAATAATGCTAAAATAATTTTTTAAATCTACCAGCCTACTTATCTATGAAAATCCATTTAACAAAATTATAAAAAATGAGACAGGGCAACAGTAGCAGAAAAAGCTTACTGGGGTCTTTAAGAACTAAAAGAATGACAATGGATATGAGAACAAAAATACTAAAGTAGCTACATTCCAAGGATTCTATTCCCTTTGCTAAAACTCTATCTTCTCTACACAAGCATAGAGTCTTGGACACTGGCAGGGGTCAATGTCATCACATTTTTGGGGGGGAATACATGCTTTGGGAAATCTGTAGAATATCTCTCCTCTGCAATTTAAAAAATACATTAGAAGAGTTGGTCACCTAAAAAATCAGATTCTGAAAGTAGATTATATAGAATTTGTTTTATAATATATGCCATAAAGGAAAAAGTCATTAAAAAGTTGCAACCTGCTGAGTTTTATATTTGGTACTTATTTGCGGAGCTGCAATTCTGACATAGTAACACTCAGACTTTGGCTATCTGGTGCCTTCTGTCATCCAGAATTTCTTGTACACATAACTAAAAGAATGAAAGCTATCTCTGGCTATAAAGAAGTAGCTAGAAAGAACCAAAGAAAAAGTAATTGGCTGATTTATTTATTTAAAAGAAAATTCTCACTGGTTGGTGACAGCTATAAAAGCTAAGCAGAGCCTCCCCAAATCTAAAACCACTGAAGGAAAATAAAAGGGAAACGAAATGAGAGTATCAAAGGACAGAGGTGACAGACAACTGAATGATAAAGGAAGTTAAAATGAAAAACAGATTATCATGAAGGAGACCAAGCCTTCAAACCACTAAAACAAAGACTGCCTCTGGGGAAAGGACTGAGATTGTGAAGGGGAACATAAGAGACTTCACTTGTAACAGTTTACTTTAAGTTGAGGGAAATATACAAAATAACATTTGTTGATTCATATAGATGTTTGATTTTTTTTGTATTTTTTAAAGTTTTCTCTAACTTAGATATGTTTAATCAGTACCACAGAATTCATCACTTTAAAATAAACATAACTGTTCATGTGTAAATCTTCACTTCCCACTAGATTTACAGTACTCTAGGATTAGAGTCCTACTGTCACTACTTTATTGCAGAGTGAAAATACGATAGAAGCAAATATATCCATTATCTCTAAGAAAAGGAAAGGAATAATTAAAACAATTCAGCAACCTGGGGATATTCAGGAAAGTAAGATTCTTTTCTTAACAACTAGTGTACCCTAAACCACATCACTATACAGAACATTATTTCTGGGGAAATAGTCCCTCTAATACTATGAGGCAAATTAAACTGTAACACAGCAATTTCTCAAAATAAAAACACACGGTCTGGGGTGAATCAGCTGTTTTACTAGCAAACATACCCTGCTGTTCCTCTGTCCATAATGTAGAGTGAAAGCCATTTCTACCAGTCTCTAGTCCAGGGGTTATCTTTGAAATGCAGCTTTTCCCAGAGCCAGGCACCTACTCGCAATCCCACTGTGGAAATCCTGCATAACTGCTAGCCACCATGGACCAAACACTAAGAGACACATAAGAAATCAAGCTAAATGAGGTAATTTCACCCTAGAAATGTAAACTCTAGATGGACGGCTCTAGGTACTTCAGTATCTCTCCATCGCACAGGTGTGTATTTCTGGTTAGTAATTTCTACGTAGGGACTTAGGTATATACAGTTCAAACAGCTTTCCTTTCACATGAGTAATCAGAACAGTATTTTCCAAAGTATGGTATTTGTACAAAATATGATTTTAGATGTATGTGATTTCACCAAAATGACATTTTAAACACCACTCTATCACTTAGTGGTGATTATTTATCATGATTAAGTCAAGAAAAGTGTTTCCATTTAATGCTCAATATGTGTTTAATACATCTAACAAGTTCTAATTTTTAGCATAGGGTAACTGACAACAAAGTCTAGTTATTTCTGATAATCCCATGTTGTTTTCATTGTGTTTTTCTGGTGGCATAAACTTTCATTTTAAAATTAAATTTTTAGAAAGTGAGTTGACATAAGGATAAAATATTTAAAAACAGAAAACGGGGCAAAAAATAGTAAGCTTGATATAGATCTAGGTGACTAACATTTGGGAAACATTTATCTAGAACAGGGTTTCTTCAAATTTTAATGTGCATCAGTGTCATGTGGAAGGCTTCTTAAAACAGATTGTTGGACCCAGTCCCAAGATTTTCTCATTTAGTAGTTCTGGGTGAGCCCAAGAATTTGCATTTCTAACAAGTTCCCAGGTGATGCTAAGTATGCTGGTCTACACTGTACTTAAGAGAATCACTAATCTAAAACAGTGGTCAACAAGCTTTGTCTTAAACGACTAGATAGCAGTATTCTAAGCTTGCCAGCCATATGTCTCTGCTGCTATTCAAATCTGTTGTTGTAAGGTAAAGCAGCCATGTATGCCCATATATACACAAATGGGCATGGTTATCTATCCTTTATTTATCCAGTAAAGCTTTATTTACAAAAAGTAGGTGGGCCACAGTTCTAACCCTGAACCAAAACATAACCTCAAGTAACTGAAAAGGGTGTGGTATGTAACCTAATAGTAGTACAGAATACAGGAACAGCTGAACCAGGTAGGTAAACTGTAGATACTATCCAACCTGTTTTATTAAAAGGCAAAGGTTTGGAAAGTTTAACTCTGAAAGAGGAAACTGAGGTCTACAGAACTGAAGTTTCAAGAAGGTAAAAACAAAACAATTTACCAGGTGTTCAGGAGACATGACAAAAGACTCAGCAAAGGCAGCTGGTTAAATTATTTTCGTGTTCAATTACACAGGTCAAAAATCACTGCACATGGTTCACAACTGAATTAGAATACATGGATCAACATCTAGTGAGTGTTCTTTTAGAAAAAAGTTTTAAAGACTGCTTTCTCTAGCCCATGCTAAAAAAGCAAAATATGTTGTTTATTCAGTTAACTGAGCTACATGTTACTTTTGTTGGCTTTAACTTTTCAGTCTTAAGTTATTCAGTTAAAAACAACACTACAGCCAATTTCACAGTTTTTTACAAACTACTTTTCTCTATATCCACAATAATCTTACAAAATAGATTAACTGATTTTGGCCTTGCCTTCCAATTTCTACCCTTGTGACTAGTGCATGAGAATTTAAACCAAAAAGGAACAGAATGACTTTTTGCAGGTGCTGAATCCAGAAGAGTCCTGTCAGAAACTTTACCCTCTCTTGCTCCCTCATTCTTTCTCCAGCAAAATGTTCCAACTTTCTTCATCTACTTAGTCCACAATTTCTTAGTAGGCTGGTTAAACTGGGTAGCAGAATCACTGTTTCCTTGAGGACTATCTGTTTCATTTATCTAGTGGCCTAGACTTACTGACAGACTTAATAGTTTTAAGCCATCTGCCTATCTTTGCAACCCCACTGCTTACCTGAACCCTTAGTCACTCCAAGCTTTAATGTTTGTATGGACCACCTGGTACTGAGCACTGACTCACTAAACCTGACCCCTGACCCACACCTACTTGCCCTTGAGTTCCTGCTATCCACTTGAACATGCAGCTCACTCTCCTTGAATGACATCTTACTTAAACCAAATCAAAGCATTTGTTTGCTGCTTTAGAGCTTACGCAGTGACAGCCGAAGTGATTTTTTCTTTGGTTTCAATTTATTTTTTACCCAAAGTAAAAGAATGTCTCAGAAGCACAGGGTTCCCCTTAGGAGAGCTAAACAACTCCAGAGAATCCAAGAAGCATGTAGGGTTATATGAAGTGATACTAGAACTGTCTTCTGGGCTGTTTTTTAGATAGAAATATTATTCAGAATTCAAAATGAGCTAAGTTTTTTTAAAACAAGTTCACTATACAGGTGTTAACAGAGTTTTCAGTGTTTTGATATGCCTGGACCTCTGATAAAGTCAAATCTTTTCTGAATCTGTTTAACTTTATATCTAACTATTGTTTAACCTTACGAAAATGTTGAACAATTTACAAGCTCTGGCGTAAGCTACCCCACTATTATTTGAAAAAACATGTGCTTATACATTAAAGGCCACGCCTCCTTCACTTAAAATGAACAATCCAAGTAGAACAGAAGAATGGCGTACAACTGACCAAGAAATAAATATGGCTCATTATGCTAATGAGAGAAAATTAAAAGAAAACGCTCTCGATGTTGATGACAAGTCAAGGAACACAGATTACAGTAAAGATGATTGTATGAAGAAAATCCACTGAACACTACTTTTTTCTGAACTGTGTTTCCGTGTTATCTTCCAGAAAGTCCCCTTTTATTTTTACATACCATAAACTACTACTGTACAACTGAACAGTGAAAATATTAAATTATGATTAATGTAGATTACTAAAGTACATCATGTATATTTAGAAAACTTATCAACAAAAATAGCTAAAATTACCTGAAAGCTCTAACTTGCCTTGAACATTCTATAACCATAAGGGACAACCAATAATGCTACAAAATTCGATTCTGTATTCCACATTCTATTAGTCTACTGGTTGACTGCCAGCAGATTGCCATTCCCTGGCCTGTTTTAGCCTTTCAAGAGATGGTCTCTGCTCCCATGTAAAGGTTTTAAGCAACTAAGAGGTATGGAAATTCTCAAACCTACCTCCTGTAATGTCCCTAGACTTAGGAAATAATCTGAATTCACACCCTCAATTTTAACTCCCATCTCTTCTTGCACCTTGCCAGGCCTTTCTGGAGTCAGGACCAGAGACTCATCATAACCAAACTGTATTTGTTGGCAAAAGGGCTTTAGCTAAGAGACATCCTTGCAATTAACCCAACTCAGCAAAAATGACTATAGCCTGTGTGAGGAACTGAGTTCCTCCAATTGTCACATAGATAATTCTCAAACAGGTGCTTGAATTTTCCTGTGCTGTTCCTCCCTGCTTTCAAATGGAGTATGTTCAGGGAAGATAATCTCTCTTCCTTCTAAATGCTAACAACTAAAACAGAAAAGTATTTATAAAATTGAATGTATCTTAAACTTCAGATAAAATAAGATAATTTGTATCCCTTCTAAAAAACTTAAAATATACTTATTTTCCAACATTTTCTTAATGTAACATAGGAAATTATTTGGTTTCCCAGTTTAACAGTTATAGATGTAACTTGAGGCAAAAAAGGTTAAGTGACTTACCCAAGGTTACAATTAGAGGTACAGCTGGGGCTAGAAACCAGGCCTCCTGAGTCCCAGCCCAGTGCTCTTTTCCTTAGCCCATGATGCCTTATCAGAAAAATCCAAATACAGTCAGACCCCCAGTTACATGGGTATGAGTTACACTGATTCACATATACAAACTTTATATAGTGTGACCAATGTTTCAACTCACGCGGTACCCTGCTTCCATTTATGCAGTATGCCAGGCATCGGCACGATTTTCAGTGGCACACAGGCGGTTGCCACCACCAGGGCCCTAGGCAAAATTGCAAAGAAGGCAAAGTTTGTCTTTGGCCCTCCCACCGCCCTTATGCATTCCTCTCCCGCACCTCCTCATCATCCCCCTGCCCAGCCTCCCAACGCCATCATGCTGCCCTCTGGATGTCCAAAGAACCCCACTTCCATCACTCACCCAGGACTGTCCTTTCTGGAAGTGCCCAGTAATCCAAAATTATCTCTCCATTTCCCTGCCACTAAAATTCCTATTCCTTAGGATTTCAGTGAAGTTTAGGTAATCCAATTACCTAATGAGTAACTAATTTAAGCAATTTAAAATAAGATTTATTTAACAGACTTACATCTCGAAGGAGTTTAAAAAGGAACTACTTAAAACCTGACTTTGAGGAACGGGAAAAGGAATAATCTTTTATTGGGGGTGATGGTGAGGTGAAAGGAAAGCAAGGTTTCCCAGGGCCCTGGACCTCCTGTGCCACTTCAGATTTCCTCACAGACAGGACACTAGGGGTTGAGAGCATTATTGCCACCTTGAGTTCCACTATCCAAGAAAACAGTGGTGGTTGCTTTAGTCTCTGAGATTTTAAAAAAAAAAAAAATTGGACAGAGCTGCCTTAAATACCCTCCTACCTACCTTTTCCATCTCTCTCCCACCTATTGGATCCCCATTTCCACCTCCTAGTGCCAAATACACCCAACAGCATTCCCTGTAAACTGTTCCTTTGTCCAATACAAAGCTTGCCATTATATGGTTTCAAATTACATCGTGTTATTCAGGATCATATCCATGTTCCCCTATCCCTGAACAACTTGAAGTTGACTGTTTGCTAAAACAGAACAATCCTAATTATTTAGAAGTCCTGAATCATAAGATAACATATGAGAACTCATTAGCTATTAAGAAGAAGAATGTTCTGATTCTTATCCTGTATACATAGAAGAATGTGGGTATCAAAAGAACATTCAATTCTTGTCCTTGAAAGTAGTGTTTCTTACTTCTGACCCAACACAGCAGTGAAAATCCAGTCATTTCAGCTAAATAATATCGTGGGCTCGTAAACATGAGTTCATTGGTAAATCCTCAGTCTGGAGGCAAAAAAAATCCAGTAACAAACACATAAAAAATATAAACTTATTTGTATAAAAGCAGAGTGGATTTTAAGAAATCTGTGTTTCTGATTACACACACAGGAATATACATACACACACACATATATATATATAAATATATATATATATATATTTTTTTAATTTAGCTTTTTAATACCAGATTGGCTACCTAGTTTGGAAATTTATCAGGTGATAGTAGTTACTTTGATTCAACTTCCCTCAAAGGAAATTCAATCCATGCAGAAGGTACAAAAAATAGTATACATCTAGGATTAAAAGGATCATGTAAAGTCAGTCTTAAATGATTTCTATAATTTATTACAAAGATAATTCTGTCAATTAAAATCCTGGATTAAGCCCTTTCCAATACCATCTTGAAACTGGAAAAGGAGCAAATGTTAAGACACGTTGCAGGTACAAAATAACCATTTTTATCTAAAGTGGAAATGATAACGGGTAAAATTTTCTCCAGTGGCATTTTAAATTCATGTTAACTTTCAAGGGCTTACTACACAAATAAAATTCATTGCCTTCCCAATCTTCCCCTCCTTAACACAACCATAAGTAGGTTTGCCATCTACACCTATTTGTCTATGTTCTGCGAAGAAAAGCTCCCAATGTAGTTTCATTAAAACCTAACTGTGAACACTGAAAAGCCACTCTAAATATGCATTGTTAAAAAATCTTGAATTCAATAAATTAAAAAAATCTACTCACATAATTTGCTGCAAAGCACCTAAGAAAATTATAAAAGCGACTGCTGAAAACTGAAGTGTGCCTTTTCTCTTACGTCAAACAATTCAAATAACTTGTCAAGAAAAAACATTTAATGACCAAGGAACTCTCTGCCTGAACAAGCAACATACAAAAACGAGCAAATGTTTTGCTTTGTTTTTAAGAGAGAGAGCACTGAACTCAACCTTTTCTCCATACTAGCATAGATTTGAGCTGAATTTGAAAGAGTACACTACTAATTATCACAAAAAAGCAACAGCGTTTCATCTTATTTAGAAATTCTCTTTACGACAAAAAGATAACCAGCAGTAAGTGATTTTCTATACAAATCCTAACGTAAGTGCCTAAAAGAATCGTTGTTTGCCTCAATTCTACTTAACTGGGCCCCACATTTTCAAAATGGTTCTATTTGGGACACATGCAAGACTTGTCAATATTTACTTGAACAAAGCCTCTATTAAATTGTCTAACAAAATGGAGGCCTTTCGGAAAAAAAACAGGCCGTAACACTTTTCTTTTCACAAAACGGGACCAAACACACCCACTGCAAGAAATCATGGTTTGGGTCAGATCTTTCCATAATGGCTGTTTCTGTGGGGATCGAGGGTGCACCCCTGGGGACTGGGTTCATAGTAAACGTTTCCTCCGGACCCAGAGAAAGAGGTGGGTGGGACAGTTCTCTCTGGATACTCAGGAGGGCGGCGGCGAGGGATGATACCAAAGCACTGAGTTAAATAATTAGTTCACGGGGCGGAGACTTTGGCGGTACACAGGTACCAAATCAGCCACAAAACACGCCGCCCGACTACGCGGGGATAGACGGGCGCTCTCCCGTCCCAGCCAAGTCAACACTGAATCTCAAACTCCCCTTTCTGCCTGTAGGCCCCGCCTGACCCCATTGGCAGCAGTTCCCGCCAATCCGCTCGGTCACCGCCCCCCAAACCCGCCTGCCCAGGGTTGATTGGATGGGACGGAAGCCGGGACCTCGTGTTACCAATCTGGGAGACCCTTACTCGGCCACACATACAAGCCCAGGTGCACCCGCGGAGCCCCTTCCCCACGCTTTCTCCATCCCATCCCCCACCCCCAGGGTGCTGGCAGACACTTACCGTCCCGGGAGGTGCCCATCAACTGGTCCAGCATCGCGCGCATCTGGGCCTGCGCCGACATGGCGGCGGCGGCGTAGCGGGTAGACAGGCGGGGGTGGGGCGCCGACTGGGCCCTTTCGGGCGGGGGGGACCAGGGGAAGGGGTAGGGGGAGGTGAGACGCTGTCTCGGTTGCAATCGCCGCCTCAAGGCGTGCGGAAAGAGAGCAGGAGGGGCTGCAGAGAGCTCGGGCTGTGCTCCTCACGACGACGCGTACGTGGAAGGCAGGAGCCCTCGGAAGCGACCCGCGTTCCCTCACTCCGTCGGGTTCCTGAGACAGAAGCGATACCGACTAAGCAAGCTCTCGCCTCCAACACCGCCACCCGCCAGAAACCGTCAGCCCCCCCGTAAAGCTCTGACGCCGCTTGCCACCACCGTCACCGCAACGTGAGCGCGCACGCTCCTCGCGCTTAGTCGTTTCCCGCTGGGGCTCCACCAACTGGCGTTAAACTGTATTTGCTCCGCCCGCTCCGCCCGGGAGGGGTTCCGCCCTTAACGGCTCTTGGGCGCGTGCACGCGGGCTTTTCATGCCCCTTTCGCCCAAATCTCGCGAGACTGGTGCCTTAAAAGACCTTCGACCCGCATTTGCCAAATGCGCCGAGTCCTCGCTCCCGGCTGCAGTCGGCTGGGGTTGCAGAGTGCTGAGCTTGCGAATCACACCCGAGTTAGCGTACTAAAGAGAGGGTTAGCCCCAGTCGGAAGTACGTACAGACCATGTCCGTCGGTTAGGACTCCCTAACTGGGGTTGTCTCAGTATACTGTAGGCGTATTCCTGACCGATTAACTCGTTTTCAGGGACCCACCCTCTGCTGCCAGGCCCTCCACAGTTGCAGCCCTGGAGATCTGACATCTGGATCACTTCCCTTCATCTGTTCATAGCGACTGTAAGCCCCCCGAAACGGAAAAGGCAAGTTCAGGAAGTAACACCTAAAATTAATACGCTAGGAAATAGGTGATCTAACCCATTTGGATTATCATTACTTACGATAGCAGGAAGCTGTTGGTCTACATTTGGAACTCTAAAAATTAAGCAATATTCTGAGAAAGTAAAAGAGATGACCAGGAGAAAATCTCATGTCTAACGAGGTAAACATAACATACCTTGGAGCATTGCTGTGAGGACAGAATAGCTAACAAAAATGTCTAGCTCTGAGCTTTGCTCTGGTGTTAACCTTTTTTGTTTAATAATAGTTCCTTAAGATGAGACATAAGTCCTTCCTTAGATACTTTAAAAGGAAGTAATGGTAAAAATTTTTCATTAAAATTTTCTATGCATCGCATTGGAACTTAAAATTATTAGATCAAAATTTTAAATAGCAATATAGTCCCAAGATCCCTTTGCATATTGGGCCAATAAACATTTTAGAATCACGTCTTTAGCAACTGACAAAATATCCTCCCTCCAGTTACTCAGAGAACTCAAAATTCCAACAACTCCAAATAGTAGGAATAATAATATTTATAAACAATTTACAATGAGAGAAAAATGTAGATTTTTATGTCCCAGAGTGATGCATTATTATATATACAGTATGACCTTATTCTGAACAATAACCTTGGTAGGAAAATAGGTTTGTTGAATAATTATGAGTTCGTGAAGAGATTTTAGTTTTTATCTTTTTTCTTTCTGGTTGCTCACATTTTATATGTATCTCTTATACACAGCATATAGGTTTTTTTTAATAGTCTGATATTTGGACTTTTAATTTAAACATTTATATTCAAGTAATTACTTTTTAAACTTTTTCTATTTGGCTTGTCAGTTTTATGTTTATTTTTCTCTTGCCTGTCGTCTAATCATTACACCCCCCCCCACCTTTTCTGGTAGTTTGTTTTCATTCTTTTCGTGGTTATTGTAGAAGTTGCAGCAGACACCTTTAACATATTGCAGTCTGATTTAATCAACACCTTTACACACCTATATGTTTTAAAACCAAGTTTCATATAACCAGTGTCCGTTTATTTACCACATTCTTTGCTCTTCGTTCCTTCTGGAATCTCTGCCTTTCCATTTGGGATCATTTCCCTTTTGTCTGAAGTTTAAATTTTAGGACAGGAGTCAAGCAATGTACAGGCCAAATCCAGCCCACTGCCTATCTTTCTGAATAGTTTCATTGGAATACTGCTAGGCTCATTCACTTACTATTGTCTAGGGTTGCTTCTGCACTGCAGGAGCAGAGTTGAGTGATGGTGACAGATACCACACACAGTAGTCTGCAAAACTGAAATATTTACTATCTGGCTCTTTACAGAAGTTTGCCTACCCTGCTTCAGAGTTTGCTTTTGCTTTGATTGCTATGGAGAACTCTCCCATTTTTGTTAACATGAAAATATTATTTTGCCTTTCTCAATTCTAGATGGATATTTTTACTGGTCTTTTAAACATTTATATTCATGATATTCTAGGTTGGAAGGTGTTTTCATACAGCATATGTATTCTGTCTTTCTGCTGTCTTTTACCTTCCAATGCCTCTGTGAAGTCAGTTCTCTGTCACTTTTTTGAAGATAGTTGGTTGCTTTAAGATTTTATCTTTTTGTCTTTGGTTTTCTGCCATTTTACTGTGATGTATTTAGATGTGCATTTATTTTTATATTTATGCCACCTGGGACTTATTGAGCTTTTAGAATGTGTGACCACACTAGGAAATTTTTAGCTATTCTCAAGTACTGTTTTTTGCACCTCCAAATAAATGTGTATTAGTTTTCATTGTATCCTCTGTATCCCTTTACTCTTTGTATTTTCCACCTTGTTTTGCCAAACTACCTTCATAATTTTTTTCTTAACAAATTTTATAGTTCACTAATCTCGCTTCAGCTGTGTCTAGTCTGTATTAACTCCACCATTTTAATTATTTTTAAATTTAAATTTAAAAAATTTTAATTTTTTAAATTTAGTAACTATATATTAATCTTATCTGAAAAAACAAAAACCTCTGCGAATGTCTTTTTGTACATTCTAGCAATAATATCCATTCTTTTTTAGGAACAAGGTCTCATAAGGAAACAGGAACTTATATAAAAGTAGGGTTAATCTATACATGCTAGAAATATATATAGTTAATCTATACATGCTAGGTAATTAAAAATTAGAATAGGTACATGTAACATACATTTTGCTAGCTGTCCAAACAGATGCTTCATTTTATTATAATTTATAAGCTAAACATAGTAAATAATTAAGGCTGTATAGTAAATTTTAATACTATTGTTATTCTTGGGGCATCAGTACATACCTACTATTAAATTTTATAAACATGGTTCTTGTTCATTTAAATGCATGTTTAAAAATTAAAATTCTGTGTAAGATACATATCTTTCAGTTGGGTGAATTAAAAACTTACCTTACAAACAGAATGTGCTTTGGATTAGCCTGCCTTTAGTTCAAAACAGCAAAGGTTTCTTTTCCCCCGATATAATCCTACTATGTGAACGTTTTCTTATCATCATTTCATACTTGTATTCCTAACACTTACCCAGACAAGGGATGAGCAAAGTACTGATAACTCCATACCTCATAGCCCGAAACAGTTCTAGTTAAAATGTACAAGTATCTGAAGTTTATCTAGAAGAGAAATAGCAAGAGCCAAACCTGAACTGAGAGAGCTGGTTGATAGTCTATTAAAGGCAGAGGAATTAAAAGCAATAAGCATATATAAACCATGTCGCTTGAAACAGGACAGTCACTTTTTTTTTTTTAAGAATGAAAAGATAAGGATACCTAAGCCAGTGTTGAACACATAGTAGGCATCAAAAATGCTTGTTGAAGGAAGAAAGAGAAAGTTAAATTTAACCTGAGGTGTGAAGAATGAATAGGAATTAGCTAGGGAAAGGGAGTACTATTAGGACAAGAGCTTTGCATTCATAAGAGGAAAATGTTGAAAGACAGACCACGGCTCCTAGAACTCAATTTCGGTATGGTTAGACTATCAAATATAAGAAGAGTAGAGATGAGGCATAAGAGATTTGACAAGGGCCAAAATCCGGACCCCTTGTTAAAGTTTAACTTTTAAGATTTGTAAGCGAGAGAGAAAAGATCAGTAAAAAATGAATTGATTGAATAAGGCAATTTGGAGTTAACGAGACCAATTAGGGAGGGCAGTGCTTCTGGGAAAGAGATGCAAGGGATGAGGTCTGAACTAGGATAGAAGCTATAGAGATTCTAGAGATTCTTTGGAGGTAGACTCTAATTAATTTAGTGATTATTTAACTGAGGACGTGAAGAAGAGGAAATAATCAAGAATAACTCATATATCTGATTTGAATGACTAGTGAAAAGTGTCAATAAACTAACAGAGAATAAATACCAGAGGGGAGAGAGACAGGGGAGGATGATGTGGTTCTATTCTGAATACACTGAATTTGAGATGCCTGCGAGTCATCTAACTGGTGGTGTCTTCTAGCACTGGACATACAGGCCTATAGCTTGGGAGTGGAGCATGAACTGAGTTAACCTGTTGATGATAATTGAAGCCTGGGAAACAGAGGTGATCATGCAGGCACAGCATGTAGAGCGTGAGGAAAGGACCTAGGTCTGAACCCGAGGAACACCAACACATAAGGGTTACACAGAAGAGGAAACCGAAGACAAATGGCTAGAGCAAGAGAAGAAAAATACAAGAATGTGGTGTCATCAGAGCCAAGGAGAAAGGGCAATAGTGTCAAATCCTCCCTAGACACCAAGAAAGGTAAGGAATGATCCACTGGGATTAGTGGTTTGAAGGTCATTTGTAACATTGCAAGGCAGTCCTGTTAGAGTGGAGGGGCAGAAACCAGACTGCAGTGGATTGAGGACAAATGGGCAGCGAAAAATGCAGAGAATGGATATACGCAACAACATGGATTATTGATCTCAAAATCAGCATTCTGAGCCAAAGAAGCCTACTTAAAAGAGGACATGGTGTATGCCTGCACTTTGATGAAGTACTTGAGGACAAGCCAAACCAATCTGTGGTGATAGCAAGCAGGTCAGTGGTTACCTGCAGCCCGGTATGGAAAGGGGGGATTGACTGCAAAGGGGCATCAGAGAACTTTTTGGGGTGATGGAAATATTCTACCCTTATATTGGGGTCATTGTTACAGTGCATTCATTTGTCACTCTTTATTGACATGTACACTTGAAATGGGTATATTTCTTATTTATAAAGTATACTTCAATACAACTTAAGTTAAAAAAATGTAGAAATGAATATAATTCATCCAATTCATGGAATACATTCATCCACTTCGTGAAGAACAAGAGAAGGTGCTAACTGAAAAGGCATTTAATTAGAGGCTCCATATTTGTTTTTAGATGGAAAAGCCTTACACATATTTAAATGCTAACAGAATTCAGTGAGAGGCAACTGTTAAAGTTAGGAGAGAAAATAGAAGAAAGAGCAAAGTGAAGGAATGTGTATACCACATCAAAAATTATAGTAAGTAAACAGTGCCAAAAACCTTAGGATTCCATAGTTTAGGGACCTCCTCCATTGCTAAAAGTTTTGTGTTCCAGAATCAATTCCTTTTATTTCTAACACTGAGTTCAGCTAATCCCTGATAGTTAAGACCATTAATAAGAGGTACAGGTTTGAATATGTGGACAGAAATGGCCTAAATGAATTATTTAAACCTTAAGAAGTAACTTATCTATACTTCAGAAGATTGGTGGCAATAGGGATTAGAGAACGGTTCATGATAAAAGAATGAGTACAGTAAAAACAAGATTTTAATGTTTTTGTCAGGCACTAATTAGGTACTGTGTAAGTGTTTCATGTCAACATTATTCTTTATTAATTACAACCACAATGGTGGCATTCCCATTTTACAGAAGAGGGAACAAACTCAGGTCAACTAATTGCCCAAGATCACACAGCTGGTAAACTATCAAGGTGGGATTAAAACCTAGGGCTATATGAGTTCAAACCTGTGATAAATATTTCTTACCCTGTTAGGCAGTTCTGACTCAAATGTCTTTATTTTAAAATGTTACTTATTGTATATATAGTATTTTAATAACAAAGGAAATCAAAATACCAACCAATCTTAATCCTTTTGCTTCCTCTTACCAATGTAAAAATTTTCATAGAATATTAATATACCCATACTCACAAAATAAAGCAGGGGGAAAAATGTATGTTAAACATTTCTAGTTTTTTTATCTGTTCAACTGAATATTTATTTGACCTCTTAATTCCATTATATTAATATTAATCTCTTAGAAGAGATGCTGTTTTGAAATGCTTCCGGAATGGTTCTGTTCAGAGTGTACTCCAAGCCATGCATTCAAAGCGCTGACTGAACAGTGCTGGGTATGCCACTGTGGACGTGCTCTGGAGACTGCAAAGGTGAAGGAACACGGGCCTTGCTCATAGGGAGCTTGCAGTCTAGGAGAAAAATGGTCATAAGACACGTCTACAAGAAACTGATGTGTACCACAAAGGGGGCGGATAAAGAACTGTTAATAGTTCACAAAAAGAAAATGATTTTTTTGAGGAACTCAGAACATTAAAGGGAACATTCAGACTTCAAAAGATTATCAGTGCTTGAACTAAAACAGACAGTGAAGATAGAGAAGAATGTTAGAGCTACTGGAGGATCAGAAATTCCTGACTGGATGTGGAGAGTGACTAGAGAGAGGAATATAGAAGGAAGCCCAAGATTTTAACTTGGTCAGCCAACTGCGTGGTGGAGCCCTTCGTCCCAGCAGAAAATTCAAGAGGAAGAGCAATCTGACATATTGCAAAGCAGGAGAGAAGTCAGAGTGCTCATTCCATTTCCCTCTCCCTGGACATCCCCCCTGCAACCTGCAGTTGAGGAGTGGCCGTGTTCCTACACCTAAGGGTCAACTGTTGGGCCTCCCCACTATGGCTAGCCCCTAGGAGCATTACCACCTTAATTCAGTCCACATTTTCTGTAGCCCTTCATTAACTTTGCTCAGTAACCCTATTTGAGTGTGCCATCTGTTTTCCTGCCAGGACCTTAACACATCATTATGCGTGTTTCCTACTAAAGTGTGTATGTATGATTTGTATGTTTGTATATGCATAGCAAGTATCTGGAAAGATGTACACCAAACTGTTAGTAATAGTTACTAAGTAATGGGGATGGGAGAGGGGAGGGACAAAAGAAAAGCAAAGATGGCTCTTATTTCATATATCTGTATCATCTGAATTCCCTAAAACAATAGGCTTATATTACTTTAAAAAAAAAACAATAGTTTTAAAAGTAGATCAAGAACATCAATCAGCCTAATTTAAGTTCAGTAAATTCACTGAGAATAAAGATGAAACCTAAGAAACAGTCAACAAAATTACAGAGAAAACCCCTAAACTTAAAAAAAAATTTTAATGATAAATACATATTGATAGAAATGATTAAATTCTTGTATGAAGGCAGCATCCAAGGAACCTCCATTTCATGGCTCCCAGCCCTTCCCTCCAGGCTGTTGGGGCAACTTGAGACCCACCAAGCCAGCAGACTCCTCCACTGAGCGCTCACCCTTGCCATGAAACTCCTGATGAAGAGCCACATGTTCACGGGTGCTGCGTAGGAGGCAGAGATAGGTGGCAGCTTGGAAGTGAAGCTCATGTTGGGCTCTGCACAACTTCTCACTGGTGACCTAGAGAAGTAGCAAGGCCAGATAGTCTATTAATAGCCCAGCTACAGATACAGGGGCACAGAGAAAGATTTAATAGACATTCTCTAGAATGAAATTAAATTGCACAGAGGACGTAGAAACATGTATACGTTTGTGTATACTTAATACATAGACGCACCCTGTAATTACTGATGATTAGAAAAGATGACCTCCAGTTAATGAAGAGGAATTTTACAAGGGTTGCACTGAGGAGTTTCACTGAACATCCTCAAATTCTTATACCAGTAAAAGTCATCTTGTTTCAACTCCTCACTTACAGATGAGTAAACTAAAGTCCAGAGAGGCTTGGAAGTTGGCTAATAGCAGAGATGGGGAACTAGCATCAGGTCAATAATAATTAATGTTACCTAAGGAATAGAATATAGAACATTCTCCCCTCCAAACAAATGAGGAGTTGCTTTATGTTCTGTGACTTTGGTTATGGCTAATGTGGGACATGCTTTCAGTGAAAACTAAAAACTTACTTTGTCTGAAAATTAGCGTCAGTAAGAAAATAAAGGTCTTATGTATAAAAGTAATATGCATACATTCACATTACTTAATTATACTTGCTCTCACAATTTACTTATCCACCTGATGTATCTGGATTCTGATAACCTTAAGTAGCTGGAAACATCATATCCATTTGGAAGTCCCAGTGATTCCAAACCTTGTTTTTTCTTAATCATAACTAATTTCCAGATTAAATTAGTACACTGTCCTTTACTTGACTAGTTTTGGGTTCTGAGGTTGTGAGGAAAGGGCAGGAAAGATGAGACAGAGATGTGTGCAAAGCCTCATATGACTTAAGGCACCCTGCCCACCTGTGGATTAATCTCTGGTCACCACTGCCTACACAATCCCCTTCCTTTATTTGAATATCTAGGGTTGGAATGTGACAGCTAGAATGTATTAAGATCTGAAGATCACATATGTGAAAATGACACTCATAAGCTGCCCAAAAATAGGATTCATCTGCTTTAATGAATTCAACTTTTAAAAATTAAAAATTTATGAGACCAACACCAATATCACAATAGAGGGTAACATCCATCTCCATTCTATAAGGCCAAACTAATAACAGTTTGAATGAGGACTTGGACAGAATGCAGACCTTGATTCAGCTGAGTCTGACTCATGAGGAGTCAGAGGGTCAGCAATATATAGTAAATGAATCACAAGAGGCCAAAAACAATCAAATGAAAAAGAAAACTATTTTCCCTAAGGGTAAGGGGGACATTCCTCCTTAACTGGATCCCTTCAGCCTAAGGAAAGGACACAGAAAATGGGCACAGATAGTTACTGGATTAGAATTCCATTTCCAGCAGGAAATAGAGACCATTCCCCTCCATGCATGCCACAGAATAGTGTTTCTAGAATTTTTAGCATGAGTTTCAGTCGTATTTCCAAGGAATTTCAGAGCCATTACCAATCCTCTTCCCCTTTTTTGGGTAATTAAAAAAATTTTTATTTCTAAGCCTCTTTCAAGGGTATTACTGTCACCTCCATCGGGTACAACCATAATCACGTCCCCTTCTTAAAAATCTTAAGAATAACCTCCCATTACATTTACAATAAAGTTTAAATTCCTGCCTACTACGTCTTCCTCCATTTCACCCACCACACCCTAAGCTTTAACCATTCTCACCCCTGGGTTTTCAAATGTGCAGCTTCTTTTACTTGGACCTCAAGTTCCCCAACCACCATGTGCTTGCTAATTCCAATTTATCCTTCAAGTCCCAACCTAATGAATTTCTTCCTGAAAGCCTACTCCTTTACACTAAGACTCCTGTTGTATGGCATCACAGTTGGACTATGAGCCTCGTACAAGACAGGACCCATGTCCATCTTATTCGCCGTTTTTAACCAAGTTCCTGTAAGTCCCTAAAATGGTGGCCTTTTAAAATCAGTTTTGGTTTTAACACTGCATTTTAACTTCCATGGCTCAAAAACTCAAGTTAGGACTGTGGTCCTCCCTTTTCCCACATTGCTCAAAGGACAGTAAGTTTCCTTCCCTAAAGCCCAAGTCGACTCTCCAATTTACTATTTTTGAGATAGGGTGCAGCCTCTTTCGAAACCCGATCCATAACTCCGAAGGCAGCAATCAAATAGAAGACCCCTATTTGGGAACCAGGTAACCTAGGTTCTAGTTGTTCCGATACATATCCTTACAAGTCACTGTCCCCGAGAGTAAGTTCCACCCTTTGATCATGAAACTATCTTCGCCTGCTCTTGCCAAAGAGGGATATGGAGTGTGGATTTCACTAAGGAATTTATCGAACATGGCTTCCCTTGTGTTCATATTTATCTGCTACATAAGGAAAAACTCTNGGACAGTCACTTTTTTTTTTTTAAGAATGAAAAGATAAGGATACCTAAGCCAGTGTTGAACACATAGTAGGCATCAAAAATGCTTGTTGAAGGAAGAAAGAGAAAGTTAAATTTAACCTGAGGTGTGAAGAATGAATAGGAATTAGCTAGGGAAAGGGAGTACTATTAGGGCAAGAGCTTTGCATTCATAAGAGGAAAATGTTGAAAGACAGACCACGGCTCCTAGAACTCAATTTCGGTATGGTTAGACTATCAAATATAAGAAGAGTAGAGATGAGGCATAAGAGATTTGACAAGGGCCAAAATCCGGACCCCTTGTTAAAGTTTAACTTTTAAGATTTGTAAGCGAGAGAGAAAAGATCAGTAAAAAATGAATTGATTGAATAAGGCAATTTGGAGTTAACGAGACCAATTAGGGAGGGCAGTGCTTCTGGGAAAGAGATGCAAGGGATGAGGTCTGAACTAGGATAGAAGCTATAGAGATTCTAGAGATTCTTTGGAGGTAGACTCTAATTAATTTAGTGATTATTTAACTGAGGACGTGAAGAAGAGGAAATAATCAAGAATAACTCATATATCTGATTTGAATGACTAGTGAAAAGTGTCAATAAACTAACAGAGAATAAATACCAGAGGGGAGAGAGACAGGGGAGGATGATGTGGTTCTATTCTGAATACACTGAATTTGAGATGCCTGCGAGTCATCTAACTGGTGGTGTCTTCTAGCACTGGACATACAGGCCTATAGCTTGGGAGTGGAGCATGAACTGAGTTAACCTGTTGATGATAATTGAAGCCTGGGAAACAGAGGTGATCATGCAGGCACAGCATGTAGAGCGTGAGGAAAGGACCTAGGTCTGAACCCGAGGAACACCAACACATAAGGGTTACACAGAAGAGGAAACCGAAGACAAATGGCTAGAGCAAGAGAAGAAAAATACAAGAATGTGGTGTCATCAGAGCCAAGGAGAAAGGGCAATAGTGTCAAATCCTCCCTAGACACCAAGAAAGGTAAGGAATGATCCACTGGGATTAGTGGTTTGAAGGTCATTTGTAACATTGCAAGGCAGTCCTGTTAGAGTGGAGGGGCAGAAACCAGACTGCAGTGGATTGAGGACAAATGGGCAGCGAAAAATGCAGAGAATGGATATACGCAACAACATGGATTATTGATCTCAAAATCAGCATTCTGAGCCAAAGAAGCCTACTTAAAAGAGGACATGGTGTATGCCTGCACTTTGATGAAGTACTTGAGGACAAGCCAAACCAATCTGTGGTGATAGCAAGCAGGTCAGTGGTTACCTGCAGCCCGGTATGGAAAGGGGGGATTGACTGCAAAGGGGCATCAGAGAACTTTTTGGGGTGATGGAAATATTCTACCCTTATATTGGGGTCATTGTTACAGTGCATTCATTTGTCACTCTTTATTGACATGTACACTTGAAATGGGTATATTTCTTATTTATAAAGTATACTTCAATACAACTTAAGTTAAAAAAATGTAGAAATGAATATAATTCATCCAATTCATGGAATACATTCATCCACTTCGTGAAGAACAAGAGAAGGTGCTAACTGAAAAGGCATTTAATTAGAGGCTCCATATTTGTTTTTAGATGGAAAAGCCTTACACATATTTAAATGCTAACAGAATTCAGTGAGAGGCAACTGTTAAAGTTAGGAGAGAAAATAGAAGAAAGAGCAAAGTGAAGGAATGTGTATACCACATCAAAAATTATAGTAAGTAAACAGTGCCAAAAACCTTAGGATTCCATAGTTTAGGGACCTCCTCCATTGCTAAAAGTTTTGTGTTCCAGAATCAATTCCTTTTATTTCTAACACTGAGTTCAGCTAATCCCTGATAGTTAAGACCATTAATAAGAGGTACAGGTTTGAATATGTGGACAGAAATGGCCTAAATGAATTATTTAAACCTTAAGAAGTAACTTATCTATACTTCAGAAGATTGGTGGCAATAGGGATTAGAGAACGGTTCATGATAAAAGAATGAGTACAGTAAAAACAAGATTTTAATGTTTTTGTCAGGCACTAATTAGGTACTGTGTAAGTGTTTCATGTCAACATTATTCTTTATTAATTACAACCACAATGGTGGCATTCCCATTTTACAGAAGAGGGAACAAACTCAGGTCAACTAATTGCCCAAGATCACACAGCTGGTAAACTATCAAGGTGGGATTAAAACCTAGGGCTATATGAGTTCAAACCTGTGATAAATATTTCTTACCCTGTTAGGCAGTTCTGACTCAAATGTCTTTATTTTAAAATGTTACTTATTGTATATATAGTATTTTAATAACAAAGGAAATCAAAATACCAACCAATCTTAATCCTTTTGCTTCCTCTTACCAATGTAAAAATTTTCATAGAATATTAATATACCCATACTCACAAAATAAAGCAGGGGGAAAAATGTATGTTAAACATTTCTAGTTTTTTTATCTGTTCAACTGAATATTTATTTGACCTCTTAATTCCATTATATTAATATTAATCTCTTAGAAGAGATGCTGTTTTGAAATGCTTCCGGAATGGTTCTGTTCAGAGTGTACTCCAAGCCATGCATTCAAAGCGCTGACTGAACAGTGCTGGGTATGCCACTGTGGACGTGCTCTGGAGACTGCAAAGGTGAAGGAACACGGGCCTTGCTCATAGGGAGCTTGCAGTCTAGGAGAAAAATGGTCATAAGACACGTCTACAAGAAACTGATGTGTACCACAAAGGGGGCGGATAAAGAACTGTTAATAGTTCACAAAAAGAAAATGATTTTTTTGAGGAACTCAGAACATTAAAGGGAACATTCAGACTTCAAAAGATTATCAGTGCTTGAACTAAAACAGACAGTGAAGATAGAGAAGAATGTTAGAGCTACTGGAGGATCAGAAATTCCTGACTGGATGTGGAGAGTGACTAGAGAGAGGAATATAGAAGGAAGCCCAAGATTTTAACTTGGTCAGCCAACTGCGTGGTGGAGTCCTTCGTCCCGGCAGAAAATTCAAGAGGAAGAGCAATCTGACATATTGCAAAGCAGGAGAGAAGTCAGAGTGCTCATTCCATTTCCCTCTCCCTGGACATCCCCCCTGCAACCTGCAGTTGAGGAGTGGCCGTGTTCCTACACCTAAGGGTCAACTGTTGGGCCTCCCCACTATGGCTAGCCCCTAGGAGCATTACCACCTTAATTCAGTCCACATTTTCTGTAGCCCTTCATTAACTTTGCTCAGTAACCCTATTTGAGTGTGCCATCTGTTTTCCTGCCAGGACCTTAACACATCATTATGCGTGTTTCCTACTAAAGTGTGTATGTATGATTTGTATGTTTGTATATGCATAGCAAGTATCTGGAAAGATGTACACCAAACTGTTAGTAATAGTTACTAAGTAATGGGGATGGGAGAGGGGAGGGACAAAAGAAAAGCAAAGATGGCTCTTATTTCATATATCTGTATCATCTGAATTCCCTAAAACAATAGGCTTATATTACTTTAAAAAAAAAACAATAGTTTTAAAAGTAGATCAAGAACATCAATCAGCCTAATTTAAGTTCAGTAAATTCACTGAGAATAAAGATGAAACCTAAGAAACAGTCAACAAAATTACAGAGAAAACCCCTAAACTTAAAAAAAAATTTTAATGATAAATACATATTGATAGAAATGATTAAATTCTTGTATGAAGGCAGCATCCAAGGAACCTCCATTTCATGGCTCCCAGCCCTTCCCTCCAGGCTGTTGGGGCAACTTGAGACCCACCAAGCCAGCAGACTCCTCCACTGAGCGCTCACCCTTGCCATGAAACTCCTGATGAAGAGCCACATGTTCACGGGTGCTGCGTAGGAGGCAGAGATAGGTGGCAGCTTGGAAGTGAAGCTCATGTTGGGCTCTGCACAACTTCTCACTGGTGACCTAGAGAAGTAGCAAGGCCAGATAGTCTATTAATAGCCCAGCTACAGATACAGGGGCACAGAGAAAGATTTAATAGACATTCTCTAGAATGAAATTAAATTGCACAGAGGACGTAGAAACATGTATACGTTTGTGTATACTTAATACATAGACGCACCCTGTAATTACTGATGATTAGAAAAGATGACCTCCAGTTAATGAAGAGGAATTTTACAAGGGTTGCACTGAGGAGTTTCACTGAACATCCTCAAATTCTTATACCAGTAAAAGTCATCTTGTTTCAACTCCTCACTTACAGATGAGTAAACTAAAGTCCAGAGAGGCTTGGAAGTTGGCTAATAGCAGAGATGGGGAACTAGCATCAGGTCAATAATAATTAATGTTACCTAAGGAATAGAATATAGAACATTCTCCCCTCCAAACAAATGAGGAGTTGCTTTATGTTCTGTGACTTTGGTTATGGCTAATGTGGGACATGCTTTCAGTGAAAACTAAAAACTTACTTTGTCTGAAAATTAGCGTCAGTAAGAAAATAAAGGTCTTATGTATAAAAGTAATATGCATACATTCACATTACTTAATTATACTTGCTCTCACAATTTACTTATCCACCTGATGTATCTGGATTCTGATAACCTTAAGTAGCTGGAAACATCATATCCATTTGGAAGTCCCAGTGATTCCAAACCTTGTTTTTTCTTAATCATAACTAATTTCCAGATTAAATTAGTACACTGTCCTTTACTTGACTAGTTTTGGGTTCTGAGGTTGTGAGGAAAGGGCAGGAAAGATGAGACAGAGATGTGTGCAAAGCCTCATATGACTTAAGGCACCCTGCCCACCTGTGGATTAATCTCTGGTCACCACTGCCTACACAATCCCCTTCCTTTATTTGAATATCTAGGGTTGGAATGTGACAGCTAGAATGTATTAAGATCTGAAGATCACATATGTGAAAATGACACTCATAAGCTGCCCAAAAATAGGATTCATCTGCTTTAATGAATTCAACTTTTAAAAATTAAAAATTTATGAGACCAACACCAATATCACAATAGAGGGTAACATCCATCTCCATTCTATAAGGCCAAACTAATAACAGTTTGAATGAGGACTTGGACAGAATGCAGACCTTGATTCAGCTGAGTCTGACTCATGAGGAGTCAGAGGGTCAGCAATATATAGTAAATGAATCACAAGAGGCCAAAAACAATCAAATGAAAAAGAAAACTATTTTCCCTAAGGGTAAGGGGGACATTCCTCCTTAACTGGATCCCTTCAGCCTAAGGAAAGGACACAGAAAATGGGCACAGATAGTTACTGGATTAGAATTCCATTTCCAGCAGGAAATAGAGACCATTCCCCTCCATGCATGCCACAGAATAGTGTTTCTAGAATTTTTAGCATGAGTTTCAGTCGTATTTCCAAGGAATTTCAGAGCCATTACCAATCCTCTTCCCCTTTTTTGGGTAATTAAAAAAATTTTTATTTCTAAGCCTCTTTCAAGGGTATTACTGTCACCTCCATCGGGTACAACCATAATCACGTCCCCTTCTTAAAAATCTTAAGAATAACCTCCCATTACATTTACAATAAAGTTTAAATTCCTGCCTACTACGTCTTCCTCCATTTCACCCACCACACCCTAAGCTTTAACCATTCTCACCCCTGGGTTTTCAAATGTGCAGCTTCTTTTACTTGGACCTCAAGTTCCCCAACCACCATGTGCTTGCTAATTCCAATTTATCCTTCAAGTCCCAACCTAATGAATTTCTTCCTGAAAGCCTACTCCTTTACACTAAGACTCCTGTTGTATGGCATCACAGTTGGACTATGAGCCTCGTACAAGACAGGACCCATGTCCATCTTATTCGCCGTTTTTAACCAAGTTCCTGTAAGTCCCTAAAATGGTGGCCTTTTAAAATCAGTTTTGGTTTTAACACTGCATTTTAACTTCCATGGCTCAAAAACTCAAGTTAGGACTGTGGTCCTCCCTTTTCCCACATTGCTCAAAGGACAGTAAGTTTCCTTCCCTAAAGCCCAAGTCGACTCTCCAATTTACTATTTTTGAGATAGGGTGCAGCCTCTTTCGAAACCCGATCCATAACTCCGAAGGCAGCAATCAAATAGAAGACCCCTATTTGGGAACCAGGTAACCTAGGTTCTAGTTGTTCCGATACATATCCTTACAAGTCACTGTCCCCGAGAGTAAGTTCCACCCTTTGATCATGAAACTATCTTCGCCTGCTCTTGCCAAAGAGGGATATGGAGTGTGGATTTCACTAAGGAATTTATCGAACATGGCTTCCCTTGTGTTCATATTTATCTGCTACATAAGGAAAAACTCTATATGGTCACGTATGACTAAGTTAATGTTCTAAATGAGTACGTAACCCCATTACACGTTTCTAGTTCAACTCTACAAGGCACCATTTTTTAAAATGGTGTAGGGAATACAATATGAGAAAAACGCACTTCCTGCTCTTCAAGAAGCTCCTATTACTCTTCACCTTATTACAGATTTCTTTTCTGGACCTTCCCCTCCGCACCGACGAGACCAGTGAATGCAGTCCTCGGGGACGGCGCGCGCCCAGGCGAGTCTGCCGTCCCCCAGGTCCTCGGTTAGGCCCCGGGCGAGGGCCACAGCCTCCGGCCTAGGCCCCGGTTTGTCGGCTGGACGCAGGTCGCGGCGGGAGGGTGGGCCTCAGAAATGCAGGCGCTAAGGCCCGACTCTCCCTCCCTCCCAGCGAAGGGACGCGGGAGCACCCGTAACGAGGGCTTCCGTACCCGATGTGCACGGAAAGCCTTCACGAGGTACCGATAGGCCGCGGTGTCGCGATAGGGTCGGCCAGTGGCCGCGTTCATGCAGCGTAACTCCCGTAGAAGGGCCCGTAACGTGCGCGCCGGGGACCCTAAGGCCGCCATTCTCCGGTCCTCCGAGCCTGGGGCCTCAAGGTGCCCTACGCCCCGCCAACTCCCTAACCCCCAGCCCCAGACGCCTAACGAAGGGTCGAACCCAGAGGGCCGGCTCCCCCTATCGATGGCAGAGCACTGGAACTTCTCACTTCCCTTCGCGGCTAACCAGTCAAACGCCGAGCGGGGCCCGTAAGGAGTTAAGAGAAAAGCAAACGAAAGCCGAGTGTCACTGAATAGCCAGGTCCTCAAAAAACCCAGAGGAGGTCCTTTCCTGACTGCGTTATTTAAGACGCCATTAGCTGACTGACTGCTGAGTCTCAAGAAAAAGAGCCTGGCGGGAATGTCAATAATGGGACACGTGAGAGAGGATATAAAAATTCGACGTATTGACTTCCCATTAGTTTTACGGAACGTACAGCTCAGAGGAAGGAATTGGAGCGTGATTCTCGCAAGGTGAAGCCCAACACTTTGAAAAGCTACACACTTCCGATTTTTTAAAACTAAAACCGTTTCGGGGGCTTTCTTGTCCCCTCCAGGCGTGAGCCAGGAGCTCTGTCCTCTCGCTTTCTCTCTAAATAAAGCCTCTGCTTTGCTCTCCTAAAAAAAAAAACTAAAACCGTTTCGGTATAATTGTTTTAAGACGGCAAAAGGGTAATTATCACCCCAGATGGGACTCGAACCCACAATCCCTGGCTTAGGAGGCCAATGCCTTATCCATTAGGCCACTGGGGCTCCTGAGAACGACGCCCTCAAACAACATATTCAATGTTAAACCCTTCGGTACGTCATCATTTCTTAACTCTTGCCTTGCAAACTACATGAATATCAATATGTGAAACACGGCGTGCTGGGAACTGTAGTTCAGAAGACAAAAGTCCGCGTTACAGTTGCCAAGGCTCTACCCTCGAAACAGCACCGAAGAGCCGGTCGGAGAACGGGCGCGCGCACGACTTTGCGTACGCATTTGCCTGCGCCGTAGCCTCTGCGCCTGTGCAAAAGCGGGCACGCTACGTCACGGATCCGGCCTCCCTGGGTACACAGTCCGAATCGGAGAGACGACCTCTCACCTGCCGCTCCATCCGGTTCTTACCGGAAACTGCCAGCCCCTTCCGGTGTTGCGGTTTTCCGGACTTCGCTTCGCTCCAGCCTACCCTTAGGTGGCGTTTGCCCCGGTCATTTTCTGTTTCCGGTTTAAGCCCTGAGGCCATTTCCGTAGAGCCGGTGGCGAATTAGCAACGTCTATCTTCCGAGTTGGGTCAGTGATACAGATGGAACATCAGGGAGTTGATACTTAATTCATTAGGAATTAGCTAATTAGAAATAATTAAGAGTTCATTTTCTGGTTCAGTTCCTAATTGCATAAGAAGGCACTAATGTTTCTGAGTCTCAGCGACCTTACCCCTTGTTTAAATATCGCAATGGCTCCCCATTGGCCCTGAGATAAAGTTCAGGGTACTGGGCCCTGCCTAAACTGATCATTGTATGTCTTAATCTTCATCTCTCACACTTCCTTTCCTCTCACCTTCTGTTCCAGGTATCCGAACCTCTCATTGTTTTCCTCACGCCTTGTGTGTTATAAACTAGATTACTTATGTCGCAGTTCCATCATCCTCCAGATGAGTCAAGATGCAGCTGTCCTCTTGTTGGGCAGCTGCGTCTGGGGAGGACTCTCCCTGTGCACTGGGTGAAACCTCAACCCCGGCATGAGAGGGTTCTTAACTGAGAAAGAATTCTTGACTAAGTTGGGCCAGTGTGGGTAAGGAAAGAATTCATTAAAGCAAGAGTAGAAGCAAAATATCGCAGAGAACAAGGAAGAAAGGGGAGGAAAGAGAAATTCCTTGAATTTGTGCTGGGCATAGGGCGAATCCCTTGCCAATTCCTGAAGCTAGGGTCACCTGTTGTCCAGTGTTCACTTGGATCTGCATAGCATGGGAACTAAGCCCCCACCACCCCAGGATTTGGGGGAGCTGTGGAGCACAGGATGAGTGAGATTTTGTTAACTTCCCAAAGCAAAGAAAGATTTTCAGGCTGGCTGCTTAAGAGCATGATCATATAGCTGTAATCACCAAGGGGACGTGGAGTTGCAAGCCCAAATCACATATCTTAATAGCCTTCCCTACTTGTTTGAAGTAGAACAGAGAGAATGAAGACTTGTGCATAAGTCTAGAAAACTGAATGAAATAGTGAAGTAATAAAGACACTTACCACTGGGAAAAGGGATCTTTTATTAACCTCCCAAGAGGCTTGGAAGAGCACAGAGATAAAACGCATTATGTTGAGCCGCAAGAAGTCTAAGTCACTATAGCATCTTACTAAGCTGATAGATAGTGACTACAATGGGGGGTACTTGATAATATAGGTGAATGTTGAAATCACAATGTTGTCCATGTGAAACCTTCGTAAGATTGTATATGAATGATACTTTAATTTTTAAAAAGTCTTTAAATCAGAGTATCCTCTCGAAAGGGGAGTGAAGACAGCCTCAGAGAGGAGGTGCACTCTAAGTCTTAGGATTGGTGTCTTTTAAGGCTTTCAAGAATGAGGCACAGGTCCAGGGGGCATAGGCTTTGGCATGTGGTCTCAGGTTTATCTCTAGTGAGAGGCATTATGTCATTGTGCATAGTCCTCTAGATATTCTGTAAGGTAAACTTAGCACAAGGAATTTATTGATCCTCTTCTCCAATATGGTAGTCACCCTCAGAGTGGGAACGTAACATTCAGGACTGCCGGCCCTGCCTTGAGATAGGGTCAGTTGTTGGCTGATTACCATAAGCGATGTTGGGAATCTTGCCTCCTCTCTGTTTTTTGTTGTTGTTTAAATGGAATTAGCCTTAAGATGGAGTCCCTCATATTCTTACTATACTATTTATATCTTGGCATTTTTCTTCATAGACCAGAAAAATTAATCAATGTTTCTTCGCCCATGTGCCAGCAACTCACGACTTCCCACACTAACAGGTCTTTCCTCCTGGGTCTCTCAGAGTCCCCCAGCTCTAGCTGTGGCCAACTCTGATGTAATATTTCTGCCCATCTAACTCCAAAGCTTGTTTTTAAAAATGGTGTTTTAAGTTTCATAGTGGAAAGGGTCTTTTATTAAAAAGATGCTGGGTAATTCTCAGAATTTCCTGGTAGGGCTGGAGACCAGGTTTGGAAGCCAAGAACCTCATTCCCGAATCCTGCCCCAGATCTGATCCAGTGAAACCAGCGCTGTTGCTTACAGCTCACAGTGCGGACACAGTGACACTGGACAGGGACTGGACACTGGCATCAAAGCTGTTGCTCCAAGGCAATGGCTGTAGCTGGCTTCTCTGTTTCCACTTGTGCTAGAATGGATTAAGTCATTACCTGAGAGTCACGTTCTGCGGTGAATACTTAACTTAGCATGGCCTGGATCATGTTCCCATGTCTTGGTCAAGCAAGGCTGGGAAAACAAATATTTTATCATTCAATGAATTTTTATTGAGCATCTGCTGTGAGGCATTCTTTGAGATGCTAGAGAAACAAAGCAAGCAGAACGGGGTAAAGGCTTCCATACTCAGGAAGCTTCATTTTAGGAAGGGGAAGACAAGTAAAACAAAATTTGTCAAATAATGCTATGGAGAAAAATGAAGCTGTGGGCACAAGGTTGGGATTGGATTGCTTCTTACCATGTTCCGGGAGATCCTTATTGATGGGGTGACATTTCAGCAGAGCCCCAAATGATGTGAGGGAGCTGGCATCTTCAGCTTATATGTGTGCACATGTTGGGGGGCAATGTCCTTGCTTTTAAGTAAAGAGATTCTACCTCCATTCCCCAACTATTGTGTGGCCACCACTGTACTGTCCTTCAAGCTCTGTGAGGGTAGAGAAGTTCTGAGACAAGTTTCTTATGCCCAGTTAGACTGTGGGAACAGAACCCCAAGAGTCCAGTCTTAACTGCAGCTACAGCAGGGACTGACTACCTGGCCATGCACATGGGAATATGGGGGAAATTTGGGTGGGGAAGAACCAGGACTAATGAGAGGATATATATGTATAGGCACTCCCACCAACTGTGATACCATAGATCTGTGTCCTAACACAATGATTATAGCTTTCTGTGGTTGTATATCTGTAGCAATAAAAATCTTGTGCCTCTGCATAAGTCTATATTTATTTTAAAATTAACTTTAAATATGTAGCATAGGACTACTGAATCAATGTATATACATTTAAAACATGCACAAAGTAGAAATAAAAAGGATGTAAAAAAATGAAGTAAATGATATTTCTAAAATATTTTTATTTGTTAACAGTAAAAAAAAGTCCTAATTTCTCTCTGTAAAGAAAGTTTATTATTTATTTAATTGAAAACAATGTAATTCAGCATGTTTCATTATTTTTGAAATCTTGGCTTAACACATTAGGCAACGAAAACCACGTAGTGATAAACATTTCTAAATATCCATTTTCAAATTTATCTCTTCATAGCATGAGTTTCTTTTAAAAAGGCAGTTAATGTCACCTATACTTGTAAAAAATAACTTTTAACTTAAAGGGACCCATAAAGTATGTTCATTTCTTTCAAAATATCAACTAGGCAGCTGTATCCAGGGATCTCAGAAAAAAGAGAAACCACTGTAGGCCTTTTAAGCAGAAAGGAACTGAGTGCAGGGCATCGAGATGGTTTGGCACTATTAGAAGGACAGCAGGAGTTAGGGGAAGTTGCAACTACTAACAAACAGTTCAGAGTATTAGGTTGCAGCTGTCACCCAGGTCAGAAAAATGAAGGGAACCCCCCCCCAATTGCTGATAGAGTTGCCCCCAAGTACTGAGATAGAGGCTGAAGGCAGGCTACGGCAGAACTTTACCATGACCTACCCATTTTGCTAGGTGCTGTCACAGAAATAAAGAATACCACTTTTTCCTCCCACCTACAGAATCTCACATGAATACACTGGCAGAAATCACATCCAGAACCTTGAAGGCAAAGGAGTTTGGGAAATGTCATATCCATAATTCTAGTCCCCTATAATAGAGAGCATAGAAGGATGTGGGAATGAATGCTCACTGCCATCGAACAGAATATAGACCACATAGCAATGTATTTCTCATAGCCTCATCTCATAGTCATCACAGAAAAGGAAAGCAAATGAGAAACACTTGCCTCTTTTGTAAAAGAAAAATAAGTAATTAATATTTAAATTTGACAACTTCCATAAATATTTTTAAGCAAGATAATCACTCGATGTCTATGTAGTTTACGGAATCTTCATGGCTACTTCACATAACATAATAGCTTCTGCTGTTTAAAGTTCTTGCTTTACATCAAATTACCCTTACAGGTAATGTTCGGTGGCATATAAACTGCAGTACATTATAATCTTCATAAGTAAATGTGATGATGAAGATGCTGAGAGCAGTTTTTTTCCTCTCACCTGCTGCTTTCAAACCTCCTGACCACCTTCTGCATCAAGAAATCAGGATGGTTCACACAGCTCTTCGAGGAAATAACCGGACAGTTAGCCCTTCTTCTTTGGTTTTAAAAAAGTCCAGTCTGTATAACATTAAAACTCCAAACTTCATCCAATAGAACTTCTCCCTGATGTTAGCTGAGGCTGCAAAATGGGCGGTGAGGGCAGGAGGGCACAACCAACCTCTATCCACCCGATCTGCTCTTCTCCGGTGCAACCTCTTCCTGGAACAAGCTAGACTTGGAAGGTGTGAATAGAAAGCATCTTTGTTTTCCCATGAAAGCCCCTACAAACCGGCTGTAATGAGCTGTTCCTCTGTATGCCTTTATGAAATTTATAGCTTTTCCAGTCCCTTTTAGGTAACAAACACATTGAAGAGTAATCATTGCCATTATTTTTTAAAGTCTCCTTTTCTAGGCATTAACAAGGTTCATCCAGTGATTCATCTTGGTTCATCCAAGATGAACCTCATCCAAGGTTCATCTTGTTTATCAAAACTTCAAACATCCATTCATTGAAAACTTCTTCCATCCTCCAGCCTGGAAATCTGGGAGAATGGGGCTCATGGTCATTGTCATTTCTTCTCTCACACTGCCTCCTCCCCATGTGCTGTTCAGGGCCTGCCTTCCTGTTCAGCCAGGTAAGGAAGAACAGGTAAGGTCTTACTTGATTGGAAGAACTGGTGTTTCTGCTGCCTGAGGCTGCCTTCCTCACAGCTGGTCCCAAGGGACCTGAATGGTTTCTCGGTCACTGGGCATCTCTGGCCTGTACGTTCTCTTGTAGGCCACCCGTCTCTAGGTACTTAGGATTCCTGCCCAAGCCCCTTAGTTTCCAGCAGCCTCCCCTCCACGGAGGTCATCTCATCCCTCCAGGTTATTCCCTTTCGCTGAATTCCTTCTTAAAAAGAGCGAATCTGGCTCTTTCTTGCAAACCATATCAGACCCACAGGAACTCAGGGACTTTGGGGGTGGAAGCCTTTCTGAAGGCACCTGTCTCTCCTCGTCTGTCTGCTCAAGGAGCCAGCCACCTACAATTTGTGTGTATACCTTTAGTAGTGAGTCAGACGCCAGTCCCTGTATCCCTCAAATCCACAGGGTGTGTCGAGTTCTCCAAATGGTCCTCTCCGAGTGTCCCCTCCTTTGGCAGGAGGTGACGAGGAAGCACTCCCTGCCCCCTCCTGCTTGGGGAGAAGGGAAATGTCCAGCATACTGACAATTATTCCAAAGAAATCCTCTCACATTTTCTCTTTGGGACCTGGAGGTGGATGCCAACTAATCCTCCTCAGTCCTGACAGTGCTTCCAGTTTCAGTTTCAGTCTCTTAGCTCGGGTGTGAAGGTGATTCAGATCCTCCTCCCTTTAGAATGTGGGCGGCCTCAGCACCTACTGTTTTGTTTTCAGCCTTTGGGGCGTCTGGTGAAACTGACACAGAGAGAGTCCCGTTTTAGTGCAGGAAGTTACCACTGTCAGCCCCTCCTCAGGGAACGCCTGTTTTTCCACCAAGACATCAGATACACTGTCGGCGACTTATGACCTGGACTGTGAATGTAGTTAATATTGAACTATTAAATATTTACATACTTTATGTTAAATATTAGTATTTACCTTTATATAGACATAGAACTTTTTATACAAAATATATATATAGGATTTTGTTTTTGACATTATGGAAGATTAGCTGTGCAAAGAAATCCCTCTAAAAGTTAAGCACCTTAAAATGCTGGGTGAAATTTTAACAAACACAAAAAATACTTTTTCAAAGCATGATTGAACTGACAATAAAGTAAAGGGGGTCAGAATAATTAGAGGTTAAAAAGCAAGAAAAGAACTTGGGTGCCAAAGCAGCATTTGCCCTGAGGCTCTCCGCTGATCCAGGTAGCTGGGACTCTGTACTGTCTTAGGCAGTCAAAGGAAAGGAAGCCTCAGAACAGCATGGTAGGAGGTCAGACCATAGCTCTTGCAAAATGATGGACCCGCCAGCGATTGACCTCATTGCTGGGAATGAAAAAAAATATTCCTGTCCTCACCAAGAAAAGACTTTTCTGTTTCAACTTCAGTTCGCGGTGGGGAACTTTCTACAAGAGTTCCAAACCACCAGCAATAACCACTCATATGCATTTGTGGTTGAAATTTGTCCTACTTCTGTGACCCCAAAATCCTTTAGCCAAACATTTAGTTCCTAGAAGCAAACTCAAATACTCTTTAAAGGAGCATATTTTAAATCCAGGCCTGAAAGAATGCCTATTGTTAAAGTTCTAAAGTGCAGGGGTATGTGATTTAAAAAAAATCACTAAAACACACAGAAATAAGCCACTGTGAGCAAATTAGTAGAAAACAATAACCTGCCTAACAGTCGGACCCACAATTAAGTCAAAGGTGTGACTCTAGGGTCTGGGACTTTGCTCTGGGAAATGCCCTCTGATGCTCCCAACCCACTTCTTAAAGCATATGCTAGGGCACCCTACCAGGGGCCTCCAAATCAGTGTATATCACCAACTAAAAAGCTGATAAATGCTGAAGAAAACAAGCTTACAGGTGAAAAATAATCAGATATTTGAGGAGTACAATCACAACAGAAGAGACAATAAATGGAACAAACTGTACTAGACAAACCAGAATGGAACAGGGCAGATCAAGAAATTAAAAGAAGCATAATAAAGATCTACACAGAGATATAAGGATAATATTAAGGAACAGTCAGCTATGCAGAACCAAATGGAAACACTGGGTATGAAATACGTAATAACTGAACAAACCCAAGAGACTGGATAAAAACAAGAATGGCTACATAGCTGAAAAATGAATAATGATCTACAATAGCTCGAGGAATTTTCACAGAAGGTACTAGAAAGAGAAAATATGAAATAACATTTAGAAGACAATGTCAATATCTGTACAATATAAGTTACAGGAAGAGAGAAGGTGGATTTAGGAAATAGACTATTTAACAAAATCATAACTTTCAAAAATTAAAAGATCCCAATTCAAAGGTCTCATGGAGCATCAAACAAAAAATTAGGAAAAAAACAAAGCTTTGACACATTATAGTGAAATTTAATAACATTAAAGACACAAAAATTCTATAAGCTTCTAGAGATAGTCCACAAAAGAATAAATTAGATTGATATTATCTTAACAGAGACACTGGAGACAAAAAAGCAACAAAGTTATATTTTCTAAGAGATGAAGGAAAATAACTTAGAATATTTTATCTAGCTAAACTAGTATTTAAATGTGAGGATGTAAAGATGAAACGTTCAGACATATGAGGCCTTAGAAAGTTTACAGCAGTCTCTGAAAAATGTGGAAGAAGTACTTTTATACTTAATATACTAATATAAGTTGTTATTCTTACTATTCTAAATACTTAATAAACACATGAAAGATACTCAATACCACTAGTCATTAAAGCAATGCAAATCAAAAGGACAAAATATTACATTATACCTACTAGGATAGCTATAATTTTAAAAAATGGAAAATAACAATGCTGGCAAGAATGTGGAGAAATCTAAGCCCATATACATGCCTGGTGGGAATGTAAAATGACAGCTAGTGCAGGAAACAATTTGGTGGTGCCTCAAAAAATTGAACAGATTTACCACATGACCCAGCAATTCCATTCCATACATCTACACAAAAAACGTGTACAGTAGTCCTATAATTTCACTTTCCATGGTTTTAGTTACCCAGGATCAACTGTAAGCAGATGATCCTCCTTCTGACATATTGTCAGGTCAGTAATAGCCAAATGCTATGTCACAGTGCCGACTCATTTCCCTCACTTCTCATCCGTAAGCATTTTCTCATCTCACATCATCACAAGAAGAGTGAGACAGAACATTTAAGATATTTTGAGAGAGATTACATCCACACAACTTTTATTACAGTATGTTATTTTAATTGTTCTATTTTATTATTAGATCTTGTTAACCTCTTATTGTCAAATTTATAAATTAAACTTCATCATAGGTGTGTATATATATGAAAAAATATAGCATATAGAGAGTTCAGTACTATTCAGGGTTTCAGGCATCTATGGGGGTCTTGGAACATATCCCCTGCAGATAATTGGGAACTACTGTACACAAATGTTCATAGCAGCATTATTGCTAACATCCAAAAAATGGAAATAGTCTCTAAGTGTCTGTCAACTAATGAATGGGTAAACAAAAATGTGATATATTCATGACAATGGAATATTATTCAGGATATAGATAGCTGGGGTATCAAATATGGTATTAGGGCAAAAACACATCATAAAGAAAAACAAGGGACATTATAAGCAAAAGAAAAGGAAAACAGATGAAACAGATACAACCATGAACATATAAATAGAATGAACGGTTCCTTGAAAAATTAGAACAAACCTCTGGCAAGAATGAGTCAGCAAAAAGGAGAAGATGCATATGAACAAAACAGAATGAAACAGGAAAACAAACACAACAGAGATTATAGGAACAAAAAATTTCGCGGTGGGGAACTTTCTACAAGAGTTCCAAACCACCAGCAATAACCACTCATATGCATTTGTGGTTGAAATTTGTCCTACTTCTGTGACCCCAAAATCCTTTAGCCAAACATTTAGTTCCTAGAAGCAAACTCAAATACTCTTTAAAGGAGCATATTTTAAATCCAGGCCTCAAAGAATGCCTATTGTTAAAGTTCTAAAGTGCAGGGGTATGTGATTTAAAAAAAATCACTAAAACACACAGAAATAAGCCACTGTGAGCAAATTAGTAGAAAACAATAACCTGCCTAACAGTCGGACCCACAATTAAGTCAAAGGTGTGACTCTAGGGTCTGGGACTTTGCTCTGGGAAATGCCCTCTGATGCTCCCAACCCACTTCTTAAAGCATATGCTAGGGCACCCTACCAGGGGCCTCCAAATCAGTGTATATCACCAACTAAAAAGCTGATAAATGCTGAAGAAAACAAGCTTACAGGTGAAAAATAATCAGATATTTGAGGAGTACAATCACAACAGAAGAGACAATAAATGGAACAAACTGTACTAGACAAACCAGAATGGAACAGGGCAGATCAAGAAATTAAAAGAAGCATAATAAAGATCTACACAGAGATATAAGGATAATATTAAGGAACAGTCAGCTATGCAGAACCAAATGGAAACACTGGGTATGAAATACGTAATAACTGAACAAACCCAAGAGACTGGATAAAAACAAGAATGGCTACATAGCTGAAAAATGAATAATGATCTACAATAGCTCGAGGAATTTTCACAGAAGGTACTAGAAAGAGAAAATATGAAATAACATTTAGAAGACAATGTCAATATCTGTACAATATAAGTTACAGGAAGAGAGAAGGTGGATTTAGGAAATAGACTATTTAACAAAATCATAACTTTCAAAAATTAAAAGATCCCAATTCAAAGGTCTCATGGAGCATCAAACAAAAAATTAGGAAAAAAACAAAGCTTTGACACATTATAGTGAAATTTAATAACATTAAAGACACAAAAATTCTATAAGCTTCTAGAGATAGTCCACAAAAGAATAAATTAGATTGATATTATCTTAACAGAGACACTGGAGACAAAAAAGCAACAAAGTTATATTTTCTAAGAGATGAAGGAAAATAACTTAGAATATTTTATCTAGCTAAACTAGTATTTAAATGTGAGGATGTAAAGATGAAACGTTCAGACATATGAGGCCTTAGAAAGTTTACAGCAGTCTCTGAAAAATGTGGAAGAAGTACTTTTATACTTAATATACTAATATAAGTTGTTATTCTTACTATTCTAAATACTTAATAAACACATGAAAGATACTCAATACCACTAGTCATTAAAGCAATGCAAATCAAAAGGACAAAATATTACATTATACCTACTAGGATAGCTATAATTTTAAAAAATGGAAAATAACAATGCTGGCAAGAATGTGGAGAAATCTAAGCCCATATACATGCCTGGTGGGAATGTAAAATGACAGCTAGTGCAGGAAACAATTTGGTGGTGCCTCAAAAAATTGAACAGATTTACCACATGACCCAGCAATTCCATTCCATACATCTACACAAAAAACGTGTACAGTAGTCCTATAATTTCACTTTCCATGGTTTTAGTTACCCAGGATCAACTGTAAGCAGATGATCCTCCTTCTGACATATTGTCAGGTCAGTAATAGCCAAATGCTATGTCACAGTGCCGACTCATTTCCCTCACTTCTCATCCGTAAGCATTTTCTCATCTCACATCATCACAAGAAGAGTGAGACAGAACATTTAAGATATTTTGAGAGAGATTACATCCACACAACTTTTATTACAGTATGTTATTTTAATTGTTCTATTTTATTATTAGATCTTGTTAACCTCTTATTGTCAAATTTATAAATTAAACTTCATCATAGGTGTGTATATATATGAAAAAATATAGCATATAGAGAGTTCAGTACTATTCAGGGTTTCAGGCATCTATGGGGGTCTTGGAACA